CTCCTTGGCAAGCTCCCAAGGGATGCTGATGCTCGCCAAGGCTGAGAACTGTGGGGTCCTCAAGGCCTGGACCTGTATGACATCAGGTGGTAGATAAAGGGAACACCTACAGTTGACACCGGGGCAGTGGCCTCGATTATGCATTCAGAGGTATAAGTGATGTCCCTCCTCTACCCTGCAAGATTCTTTTGGCTGGTCTGGAAATTAAGTTGACATGAGACAAATTAACAGGAGAAAAACAAACAAAAAAGTTTAATAATGTGATACTGCCTGTCTACATGAGAGGCCCAGGAAAACGAGTAACTCCCTGCAGTTCCCTAAGCCATCACCCTAAATACCATCTCCAGCTAAAGACAAGAGAAGATATTGGGGGTGGGAGGTCAGTTATGGGAGGTTACTGGGGAAAGCACGGTAAACAAGAGTAGATTTAAGTCCATGCTGTCTCTATTGATAACAGTTTCTAGAGATTTAGAGTCAGCCATCTCCCTCTTTCCGGTGATGAGACGAAAACACACTTACAAAAGGGTAAATTCTGTTTTCAGAGCTTCCCTTGTGTCTGCAGTTTCTTAAAAATAACCAGCTTAAGATAATCAGTATGCCAAAGATGCATATCTTGGGGTAGCAAAATTTGCTCCCCTACACCCTCCTTGGTGCTCACACTCACCCCACTGTGACTTTAGGTGCTCCAGCAATGTTCCTGTCAAAAGTGTGTTCCCGATAGGCCCCTCGCTCAAGATAAAAATGTCCCCTGTAAAAGAGTATTTCTGTTAAATAAATCATTGTGTTTTTAAAGTACTTCCCTTTTTATTTATTTATGTATTTATTTATTTGACAGAGAGAGACACAGCGAGAGAGGGAACACAAGCAGGGGGAGTGGGAGAGGGAGAAGTAGGCTTCCCGCGGAGCAGGGAGCCCGATGCGGAGCTCGATCCCAGGACCCTGGGATCATGACCTGAGCCGAAGGCAGACGCTTAATGACTGAGCTACCCAGGCACCACCTAACGTACTTCACTTTAAGATGTAAATACGTACAGGAAAAGTTGTGAGCTCAAACTTCAGAACAAGCTGCCTCCTCTACTAACATCTGTGTCACCCTGGGTCAGTAGCTTGCCCTCTCTGTACCTCCAACTTTTCTGTATAATGGGTAGCACAATAACATCCAACTTCTAGGATTCCTGAGATAAAATGGGGCAGGGTAAGCCCCTCACACAGTGTTTGAGGCTTAAATGAGCTCAGTGACTGTTAGCATTGAGTTTTCTCAGAAAACCCAGCATCCACACCACCTCTGCCTCTGGGGTTTTATCAGTCAACTATCATTTACCAGCAAAGGATGTCATTTCCTGGCAAATACTCCATCCATCCCTTCAATAAATAGTGACTGAGAACTTACTGTGTGCTAAGTTGTGCTCTGGGCATGGGAGATGCAGCTGAGAACAAACAAGGGCCCTGTTCCCATCATTTAAGAAATATCCGTGAAGTGCCTACTGTGTGCCGAGGACTATGCAAAGTATCAGGGGAAAGTAGTGAAAAGCAGACATGGTCTCTGTCCTCAGAGATGACAGTCAAGGCGGGAGAGACATTAAGAAGCAGCTATAATCAGGGGGCGCCTGACTGTCTCAGTCGGTGGAGCATGGAACCCTAGATCTTGGGGTTGTGAGTCTGAGTCCCACGTTGGGTGTGGAGATTACTTAAAAATAAAATGAAATTTAAAAAAAGAAACAGTTATAATCAAGCAGATTGCACCTGTGATGGGAAAGACTGGGTGCACGAAAAAAATATGGTATTCTTCCCTCAACCGACAAACTGACAGTGACGTCATTTTGGAATGTTGGTGAGGTCCGGAGCCGAAGGCCAAGAAAGAACTCTTGAGACGTCTTTGGTGCAAAGAGGTGGTTTTATTAAAGCACAGGGACAGGACCCGTGGGCAGAAAGAGGGGCTGCACCAGAGTTGTGAGGAATAGCTGATTATATACTTGGAAGTGGGGAAGGTAAGGACAAAGGGAGATGTCCAAAAGCACTTTCATATGCTAAAGATTTACAGACACTGGAGGCCTGAGTTAAAGTTGTTTTTCCTTCTAGTGAGGCGTTAACATGAAGATAGTTGGGGGCTTCCTGGAGAAATGCTATACTCTGCCTGCCTCAGGTCCTGGTCCATGGGGTGCAGCCATGTCCTGCAAGGCTCTGGCCCCTGAGCTCCCACAGCTACCCCTTTTCCTTTCCCTCATGTCTCAGCCTAAATGGCCTTAGAGAGGCCTTCCCTGCCACTCCCCTTCTTTCTCCATCCTGTTTCTTCCCACCACACTTGTGTTGTTTAGTATCTGTCTCTGCAAGGGCAGGACTGGTCTGTCTGTTCCATCAGCATCTAGCACATAGGAGGAGCTCAATCTGTTCAATCTACAAATGACTGTGGAACCCAGATGAGAAAGCTGAGAGAAGACAAAGGCACCTAACGAAGGGTAAATGTGAGCAGAGGAGAAAGCATTGAGTTAGTTAGCTGGTACGGCTAGAACTGTGGGTTTGGGCTTAGGAAGATAAACCAAGGCATGTTAAAATTTTTAACTAAGAGTCTAAGCAAAAATCAATTCGAATTGGGCAGTACCAAATTGAAGTGGAAATGAGCCAGGGGAAAGACCTCTACTGAGATAGTGAGAAAGTCAAGAAAGAAAATTGATTGCCTATAGCTTAATGCCTAGTTCGCTGTTAGTTAAAGCCGTTTGCAATTGGTCATCCTTAGCATTTTGATTTCATAACCTTGAGGCATTTACAGGCTTAGGTTTCGGTTTGCTTCTTTTTTTTTAATTATTTAAATTCAATTTAGTTAACATATACTATATTAGTTTCAGGGGTAGAATTTAGTGATTCATCATTTGCATACAACACCCAATGCTCATTACATCAAGTGCCCTCCTTAGTGCACATCTTCGTTTGCTTCTGTAGGCAGTGTTAAAGAAAAAAAATAAATAAATAAAGGCGGGTGCCTGACCAGCTTAGTCATAGATCATGCAACTCTTTGATCTCAGGGTTCTGAATTCAAGCCCCACATTGTGTGGAGAGATTAGTTTTTTAAAAAAAGTAAAAAAGAGAGACAACAGGCCCCAAATGGAGTAATATATGCCAAGCCCCATGTCAGCCAACCAAGACTTAATATCTGACTTAACTACAGTTTCAGACTCTTCCAGGAATGAAACCTTTAACCAGTCAGTTACCTGGTCAGCACTAGTGAAGTCATCTGCACCAAAGGCCCTTGTCCTTCCCTCAAAGGAAGGTGACCTTGCCTGAAACAATCCACTCTGTCTCACTCCCTTTTTGCCTATGAAAGCCTTTCATTTTGCACAGCTCTTTGGAGCTTCTTTCTATTTGCTAGATGGGATGCTGCCTAATTCGTTGAATAAAGTCAATTTAATCTTTAAATTTACTCAGTTGACTTTTGTCTTTTAATAGCACCCATGGCATAAAGCCACATCAATCTAATGGCCTCTTTGTTTAATTAATAGGCTGCTCAGCAAATGGAGAATTTCCATGGGACTTACGCGCTTAGATATTATGTGCTTGCTAGGTGTTTGTCAAAGGAGTGACAAAGTTGGGAGGAGACCGAAGGTCAGAACTCTCTAGAGACTGCCTATACCTACGTCTCCCAGTTGAAGTAGAGAAAAAGAGGACTTCCGGGGACAGGAAAGCTGGTCGCAGGTCTGGGCTTATTTGCTAAAGACTTTTTGCAGCCTGGATGTAAAGATTAGAAAGACATCATCCCTTCACATCAATATGATGAGGAAGCAAAAGGCAAGCTGAGGACAAAGCGCAAGCTGAGATCCCACAACACCCTCCCCACCTCCCACCCACCTCCTCCCTGGACTCCAGGTGGGAAAGTGTGACCCTACTCCAGAAATTCCCAACTGTCTTAATGTTAATGATTTGCTACAGGGACAAACAACCTTAGCTTGACTAAATCGCAAGGCCTCCAGTATCGTGAAAGTCTTCTTTAGCATACGAAAGTGCTTTTGGACAGCTCCCTTACCTCTCCCAACTCCCACGTATATAATCAGCCATTCCTCACAACCCCAGGGCAGCAGCTCTTTCTGCCCTCAGGTCCTGTCCCCCTGCTTTAATACAACCACCTTTTTGCACCAAAGATGTCTCAAGAATTCTTTCTTGGCCATCAGCTCCAGACGTCACCTACATTCAAAACTACATCAAGGTCAGGGGCGCCTGAGTGCCTCAGTTGGTTAAGCGACTGCCTTCGGCTCAGGTCATGATCCTGGAGTCCCAGGATCGAGTCCCGCATCGGGGTCCCTGCTCAGCAGGGAGTCTGCTTCTCCCTCTGACCCTCCCCCCTCTCATGCTCTATCTCATTCTCTCTCTCAAATAAATAAATAAAATCTTAAAAAAAAAAAAAAAAACTACATCAAAGGTCGTAAGAGACCAAGGCTAAGAAACTGTTCCAGATTCAGGGAGACCACAGAGACATGACAAGAAATGCAATTCCTGGACTGGACCCTGGATGTGGGGAAAATAGCTGTAAAGGACATTATACAGAAAATTGGCAAATTTTCTGCGGATTAGTTAATAAACTCTAGCAATGTAAAACGTCTTAATTTTACTTAGTCTGTGGTTATCTAGGAAAATGTCCTTGTTCGTAAAAGATATATAAAGTACTGAGGTGAAGGATCCCGATGTCTGCAACTTGGTTGCAAATGGTTGGTGGAGTATGCGAATGAAGCTGAAAAGATAAACTAAACGGAACAAAAGTTAACAACTAGTAAATACAGGTAAAAGGTATATGGGAGTTCTTTACATTACTCTTAGAACCTCCAGAACCTCCAGTAAGTTTGAAATTATATCAACACGAAACATTCCCCCCACCACCACCCCAGCTCCACCCACCTTCTGAAGGCAGTAAATTATAGGACAAGATCTCGCGATATCCAAAGGAGCCTAAGCTATTCTGTCCCGGTTGAAATCGGCCACCAAAAACGTTGAGTCACGTGGGACGATCCCACGTGATCGGAGGCCTGGTTCCAACATGGCGGCCTCCATGGGTCGCTGGCTTCTCTTCCTCCTTGCGCTTCTTGGCTTCCTCCGGGAGGCGACCAGCGGCCTCGACTCGGGGTGAGTAAAGGTCTGGAGGGGTGAGCCTGGTTCGGGGGGTACTCCGCCCGGGACACGGCCCTCCGAGCTCACGGCCGCCCTGTCCCCGCAGGGCCTCCCGCGACGACGACTTGCTGCTGCCATACTCCCGCGCGCGCGCGCGCTCTGCCCGGGACTGCTCAAGGGTGCGCGCCGGCAGCCGCGAGCACGAGATCTGGCCACCTACCACGGCGACCCCCGGCACCCGCGGCCCGGCGGTGCGCACCTTCGTTTCGCACTTCGCGGACCGCGCGGTGCCTGGCCATCTGACGCGTGTGGCAGAGCCCCTGCGCACCTTCTCGGTCCTGGAGCCCGGTGGGTCCGGCGGCTGCGTGTCGAGGCGCCGCGCCACCGTGGAGGATACGGCGCGGGCGGCCGGCTGCAGGGTCGCCCAGAACGGCGGCTTCTTCCGCATGGACACGGGCGAGTGCCTGGGGAACGTGGTGAGCGACGGGCGCCGGGTGAGCAGCGCCGGTGGGCTGCAGAACGCGCAGTTCGGGATCCGCCGCGACGGGACCCTGGTCACCGGGTGAGGAGGCAGGGAGCCTCGTGACTGTCGAGGGCAGAGAACCTGAGATTTGGGTTGTAGCCCTGGTGCTGGGTTCAAGTCACCTGACAAAGCTGAGCCTCCGTTTCCGTTCTGCAGAATGGGGATAGTAATAACTTTTCTTGGAGTTCATCTCCCGGTATCACTGAGCGCTCTGCTTTGTGTCAGGCGATGTGCAGCGCACTGGGGATGTAGCAGTGAACAAGCAGACAGCCTTTGTCTTCACGGACCCCTCCCATTACTAGGAAAAATAAATAAAAGTCAGGGAAATGATTAAGATAAATTTAAATTGCATGCATGTAAAGAAGCAAGGAACAGGGTGAACCAATGTAAATGTACTGTAGATTTTAGGTAGGGTGAATAGGAGAGGCCTGTCTCAGAAGGTGACCTCTGGGTTGAGACCTGAAGATTAATCACAAGTTAGCCAAGGCCAGAACTGGAGGAAGAGCACTACAGTCAAAAGGAACAGCAAGTGCTAAGGCTCAGAGATGCACAGGGGTTTGGTGTGTGTGAGTGACTGAAGGAAGGAACAGAGTATCAGGGGATGACAGGACTGACTTTGGTTATTTAAAAACATGCTGGTTTTAGGGGCGCTTGGGTGGCTCAGTTGGTTAAGCGTCTGCCTTCAGGTCTGGTGGTGATCTCAGGGTTGTGGGATCGAGCCCCGAGTCAGGCTTCCTGCTCAGCAGGAGAATCTGCTCCTCCCTCTCCCTCTGTCCCTGTTCGTGCTCTCTCTCACTCTCACTCTCTTTCTCAAATAAATAAAGTCTTTTAAAAAAATAAAAATAAAAACATGCTCTAATCCTGGCTGGAGGTTGGGTTGGAGGGACCAGAGTAGAAGCAAGGAGACCAATGACGAGTTGTCAGTAGGCATCAGGTGGTAGTTTGGCTAGAGTGATGGCCTAGGAGGTTGAAGGCCAGAGATGAACTTGAAATCTGTTGAGAATCGTTGTTTATATTAGATGAATTATTAACTGGGATGCGTAGACTGTTTACAAAGGCTGCACTCAGGACTAGGATGGTTCCTGGGACACTGGGAGGAGTCAAGCAGCCAACCTGAGGAGGGGAGGTAGGAGGGAACCCTACTACCTGCAGTTGCCCCTGCCAGTGAGTGAATCTCATGCCTTTTCTGTGTCCAGGTACCTGTCTGAAGAGGAGGTGCTGGACACCGAAAATCCATTTGTGCAGCTGCTTAGTGGGGTCGTGTGGCTCATCCGCAATGGAAGTGTGTACATCAACGAAAGCCAGGCGGCTGAGTGTGATGAGACACAGGAAACAGGTTTGGGGGTGGGGTGTGGCATAGTCTTGTTGAGAACCAGAACCTCTGGGCTGGTGGGGGAAGCTATTCTTAAGTCTTTGAGCAAGTACTATTTAAGGTATAGGGGATCAACAAATTAGGTCCCTGCTCTTGGGGAATACATAAGAAAGAAAATAGGTATGTAATTTACTGAAAGGAAGTGGTAAGTGCTAAGAAAGAAAATAAAGTTGGGTGGAAGAAAGGAGCTGTGAATCAGAATCCCGAATCCCTGGGGGTAAGGCCCAAACCTGTGTGTTTTAACAAACCCCTTGGGTAATTCAGTTTGAGAACCTCTGGGATGTGGAGTACTGGTGTGGGAAGGGATGCTGTGGCCCTGATGTGGAAATGGCTGTTTTAGACAGAGCAGTCAAGGGAGGCCTCACTGAGGAGGTGCCCTAGATTGGAAAGAGCAAACCACAGGAAGAGCTGAGGAGAAGCACAGTCCAGCCAGAGGGAGCAGAAGGTGCAGAAGCCCTAAAGCAGAAAGTGGCTGCAGGGTGGTGAGAGAGGAGCCCCCACAGATGAGGTAGGAGAAGCAGGCCAGGGCGGCCATGTTGGGCTGATGAACTGTGGAAGTCATTAGAGGGCTTTCCCCTGGAGGCTGATGTCACTTAATTTACACCTGAGAAGGGTCATCCGGCCACTATGTGGAGATTGAGTGGGACGGGGCAGAGGGGAGACAGGACGATACATGTCTAAGTGAGACACTGGATGGTGTGGAACGGGAGGTGGAGAGCGGCATTGGCCTGGTCAAAAATAACAGGCAGAGCCCGGGAGTCTTCTCAGAGGGCCAGGTGATCAGCCAGGCTTCTTCTCTTTTAGGTTCCTTTAGCAAATTTGTGAACGTGATGTCAGCCAGGACAGCTGTGGGACATGACCGGAAAGGGCAGCTGGTGCTCTTCCACGTAGACGGGCAGACGGAGCAGCGGGGGTAAGTGCCAGGAACTGGGAACGCCACGCCTGGGCTGAGTCCTGCTTTGAGGAACTTCAGCCCACTGACAGCTGGCCATCAGACTCCCAGCTCTTCCCTGGGGATGTTCACATCCATCTGTCCCCTGCCTTCCCACACAAAACAGTCCCTAGATCTGTCTCACTTCTTTTTTTTTTTTTAAAGATTTTATTTGTCTGACAGAGAGACACACAGCGAGAGAGGGAACACAAGCAGGGGGAGTGGGAGAGGGAGAAGCAGGCTTCCCGCGGAGCAGGGAGCCCGATGCGGGGCTCAATCCCAGGACCCTGGGATCATGACCTGAGCTGAAGGCAGATGCTTAACGACTGAGCCACTCAGGTGCCCCAGTCTGTCTCACTTCTGAGAACTCATCATCCCCTACACACTCCCTCTCAGTCTCCCCAACTTAGGCCTCCACTCTCCTGAGTCCCGCATAGGGTGATAGGAAGTAATTACAAAGTGAGCAGGGAGAAGACCTCTGTTCCAGTCCCAGCTCTGCCATCTGCTAGCTCTGTGGCCACAGACAAGTTGCCCAACCTCTCTGAGCTACAGTTTCTTCCTCTGTAAAGAGAGTGTTAGTTTGCTATTGCTGTGTAACAAACAAGCACAAACAGCACTCATTTGTTAGATCACAGTTCTGTAGGTCAGAAGTCTGGAGGGCTCAAATCTTGGACAAAATCAAGCCCTTTGCCAGGCAGGGCTCTCATCTGGAGCTTCAGGGCAGGAATCCTCTTAGCTCATTCGGATTGTTGGCAGGATGCACTTCCTCATGGTTGTAGGACCGAAATCTGTATTTCCTTGCTGGTTGTTGGCCAGAGGACCCTCAGCTCCTTCAGGCTGCCCACGTTCCTTCCCATGCATGTTACCCTCCCCATCTTCAAGCCAGCAAACATGTGTCTAGTCCCTTCATCCCCGTTGTACTTGCAGTCTCTCTCACTTCACATTCTGCCACCAGCCAGGGAAAGTCTGCTTTTAAGAGCTCTTGTGATTCCTTTGGGCCCACCCAGATAATCCAGGACACTGTCCGCACTTGTGGACAGCTGAGCCATGTAAGATAACACAGTCTTGGGAGCGATCTCTCATTATATGCACAGCTTCCAGGGATTAAGATGGGACATTTTTGGGGGAAGCCCATTTAGAAATTTGTCTGCCACAGTGGGCATGATACTGTCTACCATGGAAAGTAAGATCAGTTAAACTGGAAATGCAGTGGACACGGTCACCATTAATGCTCTTGTGCTTCAGCATTAACCTGTGGGAGATGGCAGAGTTCTTGCTGAAACAGGATGTGGTCAACGCCATCAACCTGGATGGAGGGGGCTCCGCCACCTTCGTGCTCAACGGGACCTTGGCCAGTTACCCATCAGATCACTGGTAAGCATGCCAGAGCCCCTTCTTGAGGTCTAAGTCCAGGCCTGTCCTCAGCTGTCTCACTCAACAAATATTGAGCACCTACTATGTGCCAGGCCCTGAGGATTCAGCCATGAGCAGGAAGAGCCGAGATCCCTGCCTCTCAGTGCTTACAGGAAGAGAGTTGAATCGTACATACTGTATCAGTACCACCCACACCAACGAAAGGGGATTGATAGGTCAGGAAAGACCTCTCTGAGCTTAATGGAACCTGAGCTGAGATCTGAAGGTTGAGGAGGTGGCGAGGCAGGGCCAGGAGAACCTTCTGGGCAGTGAGAACAGCATATGTAAAGGTCCTGGGGTTGGAAGAGATTGTCAGGGTGGAAAGAACCTGTAAAAGGCTGAGGAAGGGGCAATGGAGAGAGAGGCAGCCCTCGGGGGCTGTAATAGGGGGTAGGAGGGGTCCGCTGGGGATGGTCAGCACCTTCACATGCCATGTCCCCCCCGCCCTGCAGCCAGGACAACATGTGGCGCTGTCCACGTCGTGTGTCTACTGTGGTATGTGTGCACGAGCCCCGCTGCCAGCCGCCTGACTGCAGCGGCCACGGGACCTGTGTGGAGGGGCGCTGCCAGTGCATGGGGCGCTTCTGGCAGGGCGCGGCCTGCAACAAGCTGGACTGTGGCCCCTCCAACTGCAGCCAGCACGGGCTTTGCACAGAGAGTGAGTGGGGTCTCTGGGGTGGCAGCTGTGACTGGGGCTCCCAGCCCTCACTGCCCGGCCCTGCCTGGGCCCCTCACCTGGCCTCCTCGGTCTTGTCTTGGCAGATGGCTGCCTCTGTGAAGCTGGATGGACGGGGTCTAGCTGTGGTGAAGGTAAAAGCCACCAGGCCAGCTGCTTCCCCACCCCTGGCCCCATGGGGAGAGGGGAGCGTGGCAGCTGCCTTTACCCCCTCCTGTTTCTTGCTCTCGCCTGACTGTAAATCACTGCATTAGTCTCCTGCAGCGGCCACAACAAATTCCACAAACTTACGCTGTCGCAGTTCAGGAGGCCAGAACTGCAAAATCAAGGTGTCTGCAGGGCCCTCACTCCCTCTTGAAGGTCTAGGGGAGGCTCCTTCCTGCTCCTTCCAGCTCCTGGTGGCTCCAGGCGTTCCTTGGCTTGTGGCCACGTCACTCCTCTCTCCGCCTCCGTCTTCTCACGGCCTTGCCCCTGTGTCTGTCTCTCCATTCCCTTACGCGGACCCCAGGTCATTGGATTTAGGGCCCACTCAATCCAGGTGCCCCCATCTCTTAAAATCTTCACTTAATAGTATTTGCAAAGATTCTGTGTCCAAATGCGGTCATGTTCACAGATTCTGAGGATTAGGACACAATATTCTTTTGGGGGGACACAGTTCAACCCACTGCAGCCATCCACAGTTTCAAATCCTTCAGGGCTTTCTTTTGAGTAAGTGAAAGGAATGAACCCCTCAGCCTGACCTGCCAGGTGCTGCAGCCCCTCCCTGACTCACTGACCCAGCTCTGCTCCCCCAAACCCCAGCTTAACTGCCCTGTCCCCAGGGGCCTGCCCATCCCACCCCCTCCAGCGGTCTGCTGCTGCTGCACTTGTCCCCACCTGTATGTCCACGTCTCCTTTCTGGCTCACTGGCCACCTGCCCATCTAGACAGGAAGCTACAGGAGGACTCAGCCTCAGGGCCTGCCATGAAGTGGGTTCTCCACAACTTGCTGTTGGAAGCATATGTGAACCTACGGGGCCACTTGGGGTGACAGAGATCTGTTTCCTGTCTTGTTGGCCCTCGCCTAGGCGGGGCGGGGCTGGATTTTGAAATGACTCCCCTTTCCCCATGCCAGCTTGCAGCAACGGGTCCTTTGGGGAGGCCTGTGCCATGAAGTGCCGGTGTCAGAATGGAGCTGCCTGTGACCCGGTCCGAGGGACCTGCACCTGTCCTCCTGGCTTCACCGGAGACACCTGTGAGCAGGGTAAGCTAGATGGGCCCCAAGCCAGCTGGGAGGAAGCGCCAGGGGCACCTCCAGGGTCTAGCCTTGGGGGACCCCGGGGGGGCACTTCTGCTTCAGCCCAGCTCTGCACACACCTGGGGCCCATTCCGTCCATGCAGAGAGAGGCCCTGCCACTGAGGCCTCCGCTTCTTCCTCCTCTCCACAGAGTGTCCCCTCGGCTGGCACGGGCCAGGCTGCCAGAGGCCTTGCGATTGTGAGCACCAGTGTCCCTGTGACCCCCAGACTGGCAACTGCAGCCTGGCCCAGGCACCAGCCCTTAACAGCATCCTCTCCCAAGGTATGGCCCCTCCCAGACCCCTGGGGGGGCAGGAGGGGGCACACCCCTCCCCTCCCAGTGTGTCAGCCTCTCTCTGGTCGTTTGGGGGGGAGCAGTGTCTCCAGCCGTCCAAGACCACCCTAAGAACAGGAGAACTGTCCCTTCTCACCGGGTAGGAGATTTGGTGGGACTTGGGGTGGGGATGGGAGGAAATCCCCCCTCCCTCCACCTGTGAGGTATGGCCTCTGCTCAGGGACTCAGCAAGGCTAGAAGGTGGTAGCAGGGCACCCAGGTGACGTTTCTCCAGTGTAAGCACAGGGAGATGCTCATAGCTGATGCTCACAGACACCAAAGTGGCCCTGGGAGATGGGGAGAAGGACCCTGGTCACCGCCGCAGTGGGAGTCGAGGGGGCAGGGCATCGGACTCCTTTTCCTGTGAGACTCGCAACTTATTTTCTCAGTACCTGGTGCCTGGTACAGAAGTGCCAAGCCCCAGGGAACTCACATCATTTCTCAAGCCCCGCTATGCGCTCCTTGTGGTGGGCTTTATCTCTGTTTTCTAGTGCAGTGGGTCTCAAACTTGACCTCTGGTAGGGGGTACTCAAAGAGATTGCTGGGTCCTTTTTCTGGAGTTTCTGCTTCAGTAGGCCCGGGGTGCAGCCTGAGAATCTGCATTTCCAGTGCTATCGCAGGTGATGCTAATGCTGCTGGTATGGAGACCCCGCTTTGAGAACTTCTTTTCTTGTAGTTCTCACCTCATGGCCCAGCCCTGGGTGCCGGCCCAGCCCCACCCCCGTTGGAGGTGGGAATCAGGTGTGGGTATGAATGAAAAGTTCCTGGCGATGTCCTAGAGGGCAGTTTCATCATTAATAATGCAGATCCCAGGTCCCTCCTGGAGGTCCTGACTCAGTGAACCTGGGGTGAGGCTCTGAAGGCCCAGAACCACATGTGAAGAAAACCCCTGGCAACATGCTTTGAAAATGCACCCAGAGCAGGGACAGTAGCTTCCGGGAGTGCCCTGCCCCGTCTTAAGTTCAGGCTCCTCAGGTGTGAGACTTTGAGCCCCTCCTCCCCAGTGCAGACCTGGATCCCACTGACAGCTGCCGGGCAGGGAAAGGGAGCCATGGGGGGCTGACGAGTATGCCCCCCCATGGCTCCAGCCATGCCCACAACCCCTTTAAGGACTGAAGCCTCCAGCCCCCCCCATATGCCCCAGCAATATGCTTGTGTCCGCTTTTGCGTTGAGGGCTTCAGCCAAAGATTCACATGAAGGAGGAAAAACAAGGATCATTGAAAGACCCCGCCAGCTCCACAGGAGGGAGGAAGGGGTGCAGTTCTCCCTGCTCTATCTGCTTTGAGGTTTCTGGAACATCCCCTGGAGCCCAGGATGCAAACTGATGCCTCTTGGGGCATCATTAGATCCCCAGCTGTATTTTATTTGGCCTGCAGAATTTTTAAAAAAATTTAAGATTTATTAGCAACATCTGAAAATCAGTAACAGTCACTTAAAAAAAGAAAAAATTCGTGGTTTCTCTTGAAATATCAGGAGATGTGGCAGGGCTGGCCTGCATGCCACATAGTGACTCACTACTGCTCCCCAAACATGTGTCTGGAGGCCCCCGACTCTGCCACTATTGTGTGGCGGGGAGGGAGGGAAGCCCCTCCCTTCCTGCCCAACAGCACTGCCCAACAAGCCCCTGTTGAGGCTTTCTCTTCTGCACCCAGGACCACCTGGCTAGCCCTCACCCTGGCCCTAGTTTTCCTTCTGCTGATCAGCACAGTGGTGAACGTGTCCTTGCTCCTTGGCTCAAGAGCAGAACGGAGCCGGCACCTGGATGGGGCCTACGTTTACCACCCACTGCAGGAGATGAATGGGGAGCTCCTGGCCACGGAGAAGGAACAGCCAGGTGATGCCCACAACCCCTTTAAGGACTGAAGCCTCCAGCCTCCTCTGAAGGCTCGTTTCAACACGGTCTGATTTCTGCAAGGGAAATTTCAAGGCCGCTGATCATCTGGGTGATCTCAGTCCCGGTGCCAAGCCAAGCTTCTGACAGCACCTGTGCCTCAGCCTTTCACCTGGCCCCGGGCCCTCACCTGGTCGCTTGCCGTGACACATGCAACCCTAGCAATACCGTGCTCCCCAGAGAGAGACTGTGTCCTTCCCTGCCTGCCTGTGTCTGCTGCCTGTAAGACCTGTCCCCTGAGGGGCCTCCTCCACTGCCAAAGAGCCTCCGGCCTCCTGAGGCCGGGGCCGCTAGCGATGGAATGCACCGTGACCGCACCGTGACCAAATGGCAGGGTCCAGCCAGCCCCCCTGGACAGGGATGGATTACAGAGACGAGGGCCATGTCATGGGACCCTTTTGTACAGACCTCATCACAGAATTTGCCAGTTAGAACTCTATTTTCTGTCACAGGAAGCTCCTTAGAAGGGCCGGGGGATGAAATCATGTTTACAAGCTTTCTATTTTGGTATCCTGCCGCCAAGAGAGGCTTTTTATCACTTGAATAAATTGATGTAATAAAAGGAGCCCCCGGGTGGCATCTAAAGCCTGAATTGTGGATTTCTGGGTGTACCTAGGTCTTAACGGGTGGGGTTGCTTCACCTGAATCCGGGGTCATAAACAGGCAGCCCAGAGCACATCCAGCTCCCTGATCTGTTTGATCCAGGTACACAGGTCACCTGGAGATCTTGTTAAAATGCAGATCCTGGCCCGGGGTGGAGTACAAGAGTCTGAATCTGTAACAAGCTCCCAGGTGAAGTCGAGACTGGGGGGTCTGGACCATGTTTTGAAAGGAAAAGGTTTAGTCCGCACCATGACTTAATGGAATTTAAAGTAGTTACCAGCGTTTAAAAGTCAAGAGATAAACAATATCAGATTTCTGACTTCTTTTTAAAAGAGGGTGAGCCCGCAGCCCCTGCCAACGCCCCTCCAGGGCAACGACTTGTCAGAGATGAGAATCCGCAGTCCCCGTCTGGGCCTGCCTTCTCCAAGTCATCGCAACCCCCAGCGGTCTGTGGCTTGCCATCCCCGTGAGTATCTGAGTTTGTAACCCGTGGCCGTGAAGGGTCTTCAGGAAGTGCCTGGTAGCCCCCCCTCCTTCCCCATGAATGTATGTTACACTGTGCTTAGCAGATCTTTGGGTTGAGAGCCCCCCCAAGTCCTGTAGCTCCCGGCAGGTCCTCAAAGAGACTCATGCACATTATGAACTGAATATGACCCCCACCCCCCAAGATTCCTATGTTGAAGCCCTAACCCTCTCCCCTTCCCCCCATCCAGGTGATAGTATGAGGAGGTGGGGGCTTTGGTTTAATTAGTTTTGTTCGATGAGGTTGTGAGGGTGGTCCCTTCATGATGGGATTAACGCTCTTACAAGGGGAAGAGACGAGAGAACACCCACTCCACACACGCACAGACAGGAGGCCGTGTGGACACGCAGCAAGCTGGCAAGTGTCTACAAGCCAAGATGTGGGCCCTCACCAAGAACTGAATTTGCCAGCACCTTGATCTTGGACTTTGAGCCTCCAGAACTATGAGAAATAGATGTCTGTTGTTTATAAGCCACCCACAGGAGTTTGAGCAGGCTAAGACACAGTATAACTAGTAGCTATCTCGTACTCCGTAACTAGTCCAAAACTTGGGGGCTTAAAACAACAACCAGGTACTGCTTCTTCTGAAAAATAATTATTTTCCGTGATTCTAGGGTCAACTAGGTGATTCTGTTGATGTGGGCTGGGGTCAGTGATCTCAGCTGAGCTCACTGGTATGTCTGCAACAGCTAATGGGCCCACTGGGGTGGGCTGGTCTGAGATGGCCACAGCTGATGACGTAGCTCCCCCTGGCGCCTCATCCTCCAGGAGGCTGGTTCAGACTTGGGATCCAGGTGGGGACGGGGATCCTGGAACAGAAGCATGCAAGGCCTTTTGAAGCTTCGGCTCAGAACTGGCGTGACCTCGCTTCCACCGAGTTCTGTCAGCTGATCCCCAGGACACCCAGATTCAAGGTGGAGGGACAGACACTCCACCCCATAGTGAGAGGAGCTGCAAAGAGGACTGGGTCCAGGAGGCTAATCGAGCCCATCCTGCAGTCTGTCTGCTGCCCTGCTGGCCCAGTTTCACTTCAGAAATGAAGAATTTGGTTCCGAGAAGTGAAATATCACAGGCCAGTTTCCCAGGCTCCAAGTTCCTGCAGGAATGTGTCTGTGGGTCTGCGTGTCTTTCTGTCTCTCCCCCTGAAGTTGAGAGCCGCTGAGCCAGCCTGTGATACTCCCTTCAAGGTGCTGTGTTTTGGTCCTGCAGTGGGAGCCACAGGCCAAGTTGTCGGTATCCTTGGGCATAGTTGATCCTACACCTAGTGAACCATCACCCGAAGTTCACGCTACCCACGGCCAGGCGCCTGTCATTTCTATCTCCTAACTCAGCCCCTTTTCTGGGCCTGTGACCCAGGTTGGAGGGAAGGAAGGGGTGGCATTCACAGCATGTCCAGAAACTTGAGGGCAGCTGCTCATCCAAGGAACTAGGCAAATGCTTCATGTTGTAATTCCTCCTTCCAGAAATGGAAACAACCAAGTTCACATGTTCCTCCAGGGACCTTGTTTTCAACTCCACCTGGAAGTCTCATTCTGTGTTTTGCTCTCTTGTAGTGAACAGGTGGTCCCTGGGCTGCTTTGATGTTTTGCTCCCCGTGTTCAAGGGTAGCAAGTAGTGACAAGAGCTGGGAGGACTTCCCAGACACCGTTGAATCATGTTGGCATATTCCTGAGACACAGTTCCTGAGCCCGGCTGCAGGTCAGAGTGGATTCCCCAGGAATGTTGTATTATTGCAGAGGTCCAGATCCTGTCCCAGGCCCATCGAATCAAAATCTCAGGGGCAGGGGGCCTGGGAACCTACAGGGAGCACCTTCAGGGGTTCTGAGGCAATGTGCTGTAGAAACCCTTGTCCTGGGAGCTCTGAGCTCTGCAGAGGGCATCTCTGTCTGTCCTTGGCTGGGCTGGCAGCTGAGCTGGGAGGTTAAGGTGCTGTGCACGGGTCTGGTGGATTTCAGGCCGGAGGGAGCTCAAGAGGGTCCACCGTGGTGTGCTGGAAGGGTCCCTGGTCCAGCGACTAGGATAATTCACCCTCCCGTGTTTGTATAGGAGTATCTGTCATGCCTGCCCAACACCCAGGCCCTCTTTTTTTAGTAAATGCCCTGTCTTTGGCTGGATCTCTCCCAGCAGCAGAACCTGAGATAAGTTTTTTTGGGCAAGTAGTTTATTTGGGAGGTGACCCCAGGAAGCCCTGGTGGGGGGCAGGGAAGTGAGGTAGGGAAGGAAAGGCAGCCAGTACACAGTGCATTAGTGAGCGGCACCCCACTGTGGGCATTGCCTGGGGTCTCTGGGGGAATGCAGAGAACATCTTGGGGTTTTGCCTCTGGTGGGGTGTTTGTCAGCCAACATGCTGTCATTGTGGGGTGGAGGCTTCTCCTGGGGGTTAACTCCTTGGCTTGTCTAGCCTGCCCTACACAGGGGCTGAGTATACTTCAGCAACCAGAGGTAGCCACCAGAAACGCAGTTTCTTGCATCCAGACGCCTCCTGGTGGTAATGAGAATGCCCAGCGAAGGTGGGCAGGACACTGAGAGCCACGGCCATGAGCCTCCCTCCCATTGCCTTTAGGGCACTACCTCTCCCCCATTCTCTATCCCTCTGGTTTGGCTGGTACCATCTCTTCAAGTACCAGATGCCATGAATAAATGGGTCAGAGATAGTCCCCTGTCCCAGTTGGCTCACCAGAACCCACCCTGGAATTTGGGGAAAAACACTTTGCTGAGATTGTCCACCTGCCAGGGTGTGGGCTACATGGAGAAGGAGAGTGAAGCCAATGTGGAGAAGAACCAAATCAAGACAAAAGGGGGACATCATTTAAGCCCCTAGATCCAACTGTACCTGAAGCCAGTAACATTCTTGGACCAATTACACAGACCAGTAAATCCCCATTTTTGCTTGAGGCACTTTGTGTTGGATTTGGGGTCTCTGGCAACCCACAGAGTCTAACACTCATACTGTTCGAGGAGAGGCACATTTTGGACTCAGGCATTTGCGGATGGGGCATGGAGCAGCAGCAGAAAGGTGTTTTGAGATTCTAATGCTTATCTCTGGTGGTGGATAGGGACACGTGTTGACATATACAAGAGCTCAAGTCATCAAGCTTTGGGGTTGGTAGTCAGGGATTAACATGGACTAATTATGGTGGTGCAAGGATCCTCTCCCCACCTCGTGGTAGAGATGGAAGACCCCTGGGCACAGAATGTGGACCAGATGTCTTGGTGGCCTGACTTGGAACCCCCAGAGTCCTGTTGCCATGGTAACACGTGGCTGCTGGGATGCTCTTTATAAAACTTAAGCATCAGGAAAGTCCCCAGAAAAAGGTTCAATCCTGAGCTTAATGGGTGGGCTTTCCAAGGCTCTTAGGAGCCCTGATATGGGAACATTCCAGTGTGATGCCCAAAGCTTTCCTTGGATTTGCAAAGGGGTCTGTGTCTCAGAAAACTTTGGGCTCCAGGAAACTCTTAAGTCAGAGGTTTCAAGTTATGCTTTTTGGGGACCCACGTTCCTTGGGAATGCCTTGGCAGGGGAGGGGAGGCACTGAAGCGGGGAGAGGGGGAAATGGTCTGAAGAGAGGTTTGAAAGCCACAGCCGCCTTTCATGTCCCTGAGAACTACCTGGCACTTTTCCCTCCGGCTCTTTCCAGGCCCTGCCCAAACTCCCAACTTGCATCCAGACGCCTCCTGGTGGTAATGAGAATACCCAGCGAAGCTCTGAGACCTGCCTCCATGGAGGCCCCAGTGGTCTGCTTTGGACCTGGGCCCTGGCCTCAGGGGAAGAATTGGTCCCAGAGGCAGCCTCTGGGCCACAAGGGAGCCCTAGTGTGACTTGCCCTCTCTGGGACCCTCAAACCCCAGGAGGCTTCTGGGGAGGCGATTCTACCCAGGACAGACGTCAGCAGTAACTCATGGTTCAGACCTGATCCTAGCTGGCCTGCCCCAGGGACCTCTGTCTTTCTCAACAGCCACCACATGCTGGCTGGTCCTTTGAGAGCTCTAACCCACAGTTGCAGAGAAATCCGTGGAAAAGTCCCAGAGAATGAATGCATGCACTGTACCAAAGGAGGAAAAGGCTGCTTCCTCTCCCTCATTTGGATGTGTTGGGTGGGGCTGGGTAACCAAAGCCGGTACAGATGGGGTCCTAGAGCAGTCACACAAAAGAACCACACTTCCTCTGCTCCCGCAAGCAATAGTCCTTGGCCTTCTGCTCCAAAACAAGAGAGCCTGTTCAGAACCCCACGATGTGCATGGCAGCACCCCTGCTCTGTGTCCCAAGGAAGCTCACGGGAAGGACAGATGGTGTCCTGGACAGGGCCCATAGCCCACCCCCAAACTCAGGACTATGGCTGTCCTTGGACATAACGCTAGGACTTAGGTCAAACCTCAGGGAACAGGGCAGAGTGACCCAGAAAGATGGACGGCAGGGCCCTCAACCTTCACCTGGATACCTGGCAAGTAGAATCCAGAAACCCACCCTCAAGATTCCAAGTCAGCAGTGCTGAGTGGGCCTGGGAATCTGCATTAATACCACTGATAAACTACCCATATATCTGTGTATGCACCCTATGCATATGCAATTGTTTGAATGGCATTCCCCCCGCCCAGAATTAACATCCACACAGAACCTGAGAATGTGACTTTCTTTGAAAGTAGTCTTTGCAGATGTAATTAGTTAAGGATCTCAAGCTGAAATCATACTAGATTTAGAGTGAACCCTAAATCCAGTGACTGGTGACAGGAGACACACAGAGGAGAAGCCATGTGAAGGCAGGCAGGGACGGGAGCAATGCAGCCACAAGCCAAGGAGCTCCAGGAGACTCCAGAAGATCGAAAGAGGCAGGAAGAATTCTCCCCTAGTGTTAGGAGGGGACACCTGCAAACACCTTGATCTGACTTCTGGCCTCCAGAACTGTGAGGGAATCGGTTCCGGTTGTTTTGGGCTACCAAGTTTGTGAGAATTTGTTACGGCAGCCCTAGAGAACTACTACCGTGTATCTGTGCTTTATATATAAAAATGTCATTTTTTTTACGTGCCCCCTTTCCCCAAAGAACCAACTCGCAACCCCTTGAAGGTGATACCGCCCCTGTGAAAATGCTTTTGAGTCTTATAAACAACAGCGGAGTTAACTCTAGAACAAGCCCAGGGAAACCTCCAGGGTTTTAGGAGGTAGGCAGTTGAGGTATATCCAAATCTAAAACGTTTAATGCTTTTGGTTGGAGCAAATGATCAGGCAAACAAGGAACATCATGTTTTACTGGCTGAAATAGAGTGTGTGGAACAGAATTATAGTATCCTCATCAAACAATTTGTTTTACAGGCGGAGCAATTCCAGAGTGCAGGATGTGGGATAAAAGTTCTCAGAATCCCCGTATTTCAGCCTGTAGAGAGAACATTTTCTAGCTAGTTGGGGGAAATACCACTCTGAATGATGCTCTTCCAGATTAGTGGATTTGCTCAGAAAATGCAAGCAGTTTCTAAATGGGAAAGTAAGAGGGAAATTATATTCCTCCGGATGCTCATGGTGCTGAGCCTTCTGTTCTATGAGAAACAGTGACAGGCGGGCATCCTCAGGAAGGAGTCTGGAGTGTTTGGTTGAGAAACCTTTAAATCATCAGGATAACCTCTGACGTTTATCATGTGCTTTCTGTGTGCTGGGCACTGGGGTTGTGGACTCTACAGCTGCTCTCACTTGTCCCACGACAACCCAGTGAATGAGGTAGGCACATCCCCATTTTACAGATGAGGAAACTGAGGCACAGGGGAGTTAAGTCACCTGCTGGAGGTTACGCAGCTAGTGAAAAGGCGGCTGGGGTTTGAACCCTGCCCCATCTAAATTTTAAGACCCAGGCTCCTAAACACAGTGCATGGGCAGGATCCTTTTGCTCATGGGTTGTTTCTGTCCTGGTCACAACAGGTTAACGAACAAGACGGAGAAAGAAACCAAGCCAAGGAGCTTCCAACCCTGGGGTCTAGGGAAATACAAAAGCCAGGAACTTGGCAGCCCTTCCTCGGATTTTTAATTTCACGCTTCCCAAAGGTAGGAAAGACCTATTGATTGATGAAGCTCCAGCTTGGACCCCAGAGACCTCCAGCAAGGGAAGGGGGGACTGCAGCAGATGCCACCATGGCTGTTTGCTGTTTCTGTGACCCAGCTTCTCTTGTCCTGAGGTGATCTGCTTTCTCCTATCCCACTGCTGCTTCTGGAGGAAATGGCAATCACAGGACCCACAGCCCCTTGGCCAGTGCATCTGTAGGAACGAGCACACTACTCAAACAGGGCCAGTCAGAGCCTTCTGTGGGATTTGATACGGAAAGAGAATTCTCTCAACCTTAGAGATTGTGAGCCCTGTGGTTGTAGGCTTGGGGCTGCTGACAGACACCTTTCCCACCAGGTCTCGGAGGAGAGGATGAGACCAGTGTGAGAAGAGATACAGAGCTAGGAGGCCTGGGTGAGGTTGAGAGGTTGGGCACATGAGCCTGAGGACACTGTGCTCCTGGATCCAGCCATACCTGCAGCAAGAAAGCCCTTAGCCATCCCAGTTACAGGACCCAGGGAATTCCCTTTGTTGCTTAAGCCAGTTTGAGCTGGAGTTTTCCCAAGGGAGAAAGAATGAGCTTTGGAGGGGAGAACTGAGAGGGCCTGAAGCTCATCCCTTTTGTCCAGGCTGGACTGTTCACAGCAGATCCAGGTTCCAGTTACCAAGCCATGTAGAACCCCAAGTCAAGGAAAGGTTTCTCCATCCTTCCCTGGTGCTAGTCCTAGATAATTAATGTGTGGGGGAGTGCCAGGGCAGCTTACCCCAGAATGCTTCTAGGGCACACCTGGGTTTTAGAGGCAATCTAGAAACTCATCTAAAGACTGGTGAAAATATCTCAGATTCCTCAGTGATAAATGTCTAGTGACATGGGAGCAATTAGCTTTGAGAACGTTTTCAGTCTCCCCCTACCTCTCTCCCTCATGTGCACACACACCCTGATGCAGGATGCAGTTTTGGATTTTGTTCCTATACCTGAGGAGCAAACAGAGGTGGATGAGACTCCCTCCCTGCAGGGAGAAGGATGTCTCTGAGAAGTTATCTCCTTCCTTCTGCTCCAGGTTTGGAGGTGAGGCTGGTGTGCAAGGAAGTCCTTGCTCTCCTTGCTCCATCATGCTGAGACTGCATGGAAGCATGAACCCCATGGTTGTAAGCCTACCCCTTGGGCAAGATCCAGTGACTCTGGGTGTTGACCAGAGATGACCTCCAGCTGTAAGCAAGGCTATGAGAGAATAGTCTGTCAATATCGAAGCTGGTTCCAGGGGTTAGATTTGCCCTAGGGTGGACAAAACAAAGTCACAACCTCCTCCTCCCCATAGGGGAGTCTTGATGCCATGTTGAGATCCTGGATCCAGCCTTACCTGAAGCAAGAACTCCTGGACTGGCCAGTTGCATGTGATGATGACTGGTTAACCTTTTATGTGGGTCTCTGTGACTTACAACCAAAAAAAGTCATAATTAAACAGCTCCAAGGTGGAGGGGTGGGGAAGGACCTCCAGAGGAGTAAAAAAACAGAGCCACTTCATCACTGCCTGGGCCTCTCCACCCTCCTCAAGTCGGTGGTGGTTAGGTTGACTTCCTAGCCAAGTGCTGGGACAATGGATTTCAGGTCCAGGTGGGCTGCTCCCCACAGAAAGTGGAGCCTGTAACTCATAACTGCTCACCATGCATGTCTTGGGACCCAGGGCATAGCTATGGAATCAGATGCAAAAACGGTCATTTCTGCCTACCCAGCGTCCTTTCCCTCTTGTAGGGTACCCCAGTATTCCTAGAGGCAACCTGCTTATGCTTTTCAAACCAGGTGGTTGGCTTCAGGAACAGGCATGTGGTCCAGGTGGACCAATCACTGAAACCCCATCCCCATCCCCATATGGTGATTGGTCCAGATTGGACAGAGGACCCTGCTGCTGGCCAATCAGTGTTCTCTTCCCTGGGAACTGTGATTGGTTCAGGGACCAGTGTGGGGCCCAGGCAGGCTGACTAGACTCTGTTCTGGGAGCTTGGATGGAATTTTGGGAGATAGAGGTTCTCTTCCGCAGCTGAGCCTAATGGTGATGGGGTCCCCTGCGTGGGGAGGGCACCTGAGAAGGAGGCTGCCCCAGCGAAAGCAGAGCCAGAGGTGGAGAGAGGATACTGAGCCTGATGATATCCCTGAGCTCCCAGACCAGGCCGACCCAAAGGTGGCCCACCCACTCCTTGGTTTTCCTTACATGAAGCGCAAAGGAGATCATTCTGTCTTTGCATCCTCGAGAGTGCATGAGCTGGATCATTGCCATTGGCTCCAGATGCCCCAACTTAGTGTCCAGACGCAGGGCTGCAGCCCACATGGTCCCAGACCCCGTGGACACTTGCAGACATGGGAGGCAAGCGGGCTGCCCCACAGGGCTCAGTCCCAGCTATCTGGAGACCAGGGGGCTGCTGTGGGACTGGCCAGAAGAGGAGGAGGTGGTGGTGCTGAGCTGGGAGAAGCCGCTGGTGCAGGATTCCAGGCTGGACATGGAGCCCCTGGGGAGGAAAGGCGTCGCACGCACATTACCTTCTGGTGGTGACACAGCGCTGGGGCCCACACACAGCAGTGGAAAAGCTGGTGATGCTGCAAATGAGCCCCCAGGGCTCTTTCCACAAGGCTGATAACCACCCCAGGCACAGAGGGCAAGTGTAGAGGGAAAAGCAAGTGAAGTTACGGTGAGAAACGAGGCTCCACCCATTTTCCTGCCCACCACCCCCCCACCTCCGGCAAAGATCCCAGCCTGCCACACACCATTCAGGGGCTTCCTTGACCTCCCCCCCTAGCATGGCCCAGAGGGTGCCAGCACCACCAAGCCTCCTGTAGCTCCTCAGAGCTGAAGACTCTGCTGCCCCAGAGCTGCAGTCTGCATTCTGACAACACCCTCCCCACCCCCCACCAGGTGATTTGTGTGCACACCACCTAGGTCTCAACTCCAATGTCACTTCCCAGGTACCTCCCCCATACCTCCTGCCCACCCTATGCCAGGCCCCTTGTCCTGTGCTCTGACAACACCCTGTGCTGAGACCTCTGGCACCTCCTAGCTGTGTGACCCTGGGCAAGGACCCCAGATTGGAGTACCTTCGTGGCATCCACTGCTGTTCATAATTACGGACAGGTGTGATCATGTGGCCGCCTGCTCCATGATTGTGTGTCTGGTCCCCCAGGGTCCACCCAATGCCTGCCTACTGAGGACAGCCAGGAACTAGCCCTTGACCTGGTTCTCTGTGAGCTCTTGAAGGTCAGGGCAGCAAAGTTCCCCCACATGGACCAGACCAGACAGGCTGGCAAGCAGCATCTGGCCCACCCTTCGGCCTCCAGCTGCCCTCCTGGAGGCAGCAGCCCCCAGGCACTAGTGTCTAGGGTGTCTGTCCCCTGCACTGGCGCCCAGTGGCCAAAACAAGCTGCTTCCCAAAGAGGAAGTCACCAGCCCTCCCACGCTGTGGGGCTCTCTTTGGAGTAAAGACACTGGCCCAGTATCTCTCTACATTGGGCTGCATGTGCCCTTAGGGTACTTGGAGCTCCACCTGGCATATGAATGCAGATGCGACACCCTCCTAGAGCCTCAATTTGACTCCACGGTAAAGAATATAAAGCATTATTTTTAGAAGGAAACTAACACGGGGCGCCTGGGTGGCTCAGCTGGTTAAGTGTCCGACTCTGGATCTCAGCTCAGGTCTTGATCTCACGGTCGTGAGTTCAAGCCCCATGCTGGCCTCCATGCTGGGCGTGGAGCCTACTTAAAAAAAAAAAAGAAAAAACAGAAACTAACAGATATGTCATGAAGCAGGATGCAAAATCACATTTGTTTTTAAAAGATAAAATGTAAAGCCTTGAAGAAACTGCCTGCTCCATCTCCTCACCCTCTGCTTCATTTTTGCTATCAAGTGCTTACTGTATGCCTCACTGAAGGGCAGGCTTCCCCCAACCATTTCTTCCTGATGACAACCCCGTGATGTAGGGGTTTCAGCGTTCCCTTTTTAACAGATGGGGAGGCTGAGGCTCAGACACTTAGGTGACTTGCCTGAGGTCACACAGCAACCAGGAAGTGCTGGAGGTCTTAACCACTACACTTCCTGCCTCTCTGAAAGCAACACTTGGGGAGATGTGTCTGCGAGACACTATTCTAGAATGTTCTAGAACAGTCCAACCCTGTTTTATGGGTTTCTAGGAGTGAGAGGAGTTCTAAATAGGAGGGCCTTGGGCTCCCCTTCCCCCAGCAATCAATCTGGTATGTTGGGCTTCTGTCCAGAGTTTCATTTGAAGGGGAGGTTCTGCAGCTGAAGGAGCATTTGGACACAGTGTTGGATCTGATTGCTCACACAGGTGCTGAACCACTGGAGAATTTTAACAATACCAATGCTGGGGCCCCACCCCTGGATAAGCTCAAAGGCAAGTAGGGAAGATGAATCCAATGTCCCCCAGCCCAGAAGGAAGGGGCCTCAGAAGTGCTGTAGGCCTGGCCTGGAGAGGAGGAGGGGGCCCTTCCTGCCCAGGTTCCCTACTCCAGCCCCTCCTACCTGAAGTCCTCAGACGCCAGCACCTCGTAGTAGTAGAGGAGTTTGCACTTGGGGCCGGGGCTGTGCAGGGCCGTCAGGACATCCTCCACACCCGGGAGGCTGCAGGCCACATTGCCAGGGGGGCTGTGCATTTGCCACTGGAGCAAGTAGATGCCAGGCCACCGGGTCACATGGGAGCCCTGAAACATAGCAGTCCTGCCTGAGGCTCTGGTCCGCCTGGGGACGGACGGGAACCCCTTGCTAAACCAGTGCACCCACAGATCTTCCTCGCAGGGCCTCCGGAAGTCATCCTTGACCCCTCCGCTGTTAACCCTGTATCTGTGGGGGCTGAGAGCCTCCCCCTGATCTGGTGGGAGTGGAGGCCTGGGGGGGGGTGTGGTTGCAGGAGAACAGGTGCAATTGGTTAAAAGCCTGGATTTTGTTGGGCTTTTGTTGTGCTGCCCCAGGAGGGATTTGGGCAGAGAGCTGGCGGGTTGGTTAGAGTTGGTGGAAGGCCTGGACGGTGAGAATGGAGGTGTTAGTTGTTACAAGAGCAACTTCAGGGAGGGCTAGGGGTGCTGGTGTTTGAGGTACAAGACAGCCTGCTGCTCAGGAACCCTGGGTAAGATCTGCTGTGCTCACCGGAGCCTGTTTGTGCAGTGTGAGTGAATGAGTGGGGCTGGTGATCTAAGACTTGTGAGCCCTGGCCTCGAGCAGCATGTGAGTAATGGGGGTTCATGTTCCAAGATCCATCTGAGTTCTATCCCCAGACTTAGAGCATCTCTGCTGCATAGGTTCTGAAACTAACACATCAGAAATCACTGGGAGAGGGTGAGGGATGTAGAGTCCAGGCCTCGTGCCCAGAGGTTCTGAGTTATGCCCCTGGCATGGGGCCTGGCAGTCTGCATCTTTGACAAGAGTCCCAGAGGATTCTGAGGCTGGGATCCTGGGGTCCCCAGAGTTCTGGATCTGTCCAGTCCTTTCTCCCTGACTGTCCTACAGGGTCCCTGAGGTCAAGGGCCAGAACCCTGGCACACAGTGAACACTCAATCCTGTATGATGAATGAATAAATGAACAAAGGTGTTCGAACCTGGATGCTCTCCCCTTCCCGGCAGACAAGAGGGGCTTCGACACGGCTGTAATCCACACCTAGGACCCAGCCTTTGTCCGTCAGCTGCCCGCCAGCCCTGGCCCCGGGCTCCTGGGGGCCAAGCTTGGGCATCTGCTTGCTGTGGTACAGGCTGAACACCACGTCCCCTCTCAGGATGTCAAAGTCCCAGGTGATGACTGACTCCCCCTCCAGGATCTCCACCGCAACCTGCATGGACGGCCGGGGGGGCGGGGAGGGGGAGGCATAGTCTGAGAGTCCCATCTGGAATCCCACCAGGAGTGGGGAGCTGGGATGGGGAAGTCAGCTGCAGTAGGTGCTGTGGGGTACCCACCTGGGTCTCCAGTCCCCACTGCGGGAAGGATGGGCTGCTGAGGCCCCCAGCCTCCACTGTCTAAGAACTGCTCTGGGCAAATGGACCTGCCTCTGTCTGAAATGGCTGGGAGGTCCCACCCTGTCACGGGGTAGGTGACCCACAGCCGAGGACTGACATGAGAGTACAAAAGGCCTGCCCACCTGTCATGCTCTGCACAGCCCAGTGCTCCCCTCAGATCAGGCTGGGCAAGACTCGGCTGTACCGCCCCTGTGCTTACATCCATCCCCACACCCACCCTGTCCCACCTCTCCTTACAGGTTTCTCCGGAGAGCTCACCCTCAACAAATCGCTGGCACAAGAACCCTCATCTCAGGCTCTGCTTCAGGGGACCCTGGCCTAAGACAACACCCCATTCCAGCGGGCCCTCCCAGGTCCCAGCACCTCATGGGGGGCCCCTCGGAGCACGCTGGCCGACTGGTAGGTCTCTCTCCACTGCTGCAGCTGGTCCGTGTGCCCCTGCTCCTCTTCCGTCAGATAAAGGGACTTGGGGACGAGCCCTCCTTCGGGGACATTGCACTGGGGGACAAAGACAAAGGTGGCAGGCCTGGCTGACCCACAGAAGGGTGCTCTGTGACCCCCGAAACTGCACTTGTCACAGCAACCCCTTAGTGAGTAGGGTGTAGGGCTTTCATTACCTCACTTAATGTCCAGAACCACAATGCAATAGAAGCTATTATTCTTTCCTTCCGTTTCACAGAGGAGGAAAATGGAAGCTCAGAGAGGTCGGGCCACTTGCCTGAGATCACACAGCAGAAAGTGGCTGAGCCTGGGCACAAACCCATGTTTATCGGGCCCCCCAGGCTCATGTCTCTTATTACCATGCTGGTCTTAGAAGCCCATTTGCTAAACATAAATCATGCATATGTATCTCAACAAGTGGAGAAAATGGGCAAACTTGGCAAAATCCCTAGGAAATGCGTTTTTTAAATTCAGAAATCAAGTAAGCTTGGAGTTTGGTATTCTGTTAGAGAAGGGAGAGGGGCCTGCCCTCCCACAGCCAGATGAGATAAGACCGTCGTGACCCAGGGTAGCCCCTTCCTGTGTCATCTCACCCCCAGGGGGAGGCAAGTAGAAGGGGTCTGTGGTTGCCTCTCCCTGAAGCAGCTGGCCAATCTTCCCACTCCATGGGCTGTGGGTTGGGATTAAATCCCTTTAGGTACATCAGCTTCAGGGTCCAGACCACTGGGATGTTTGAGTCACCTCTCCCAGAAGCGGAGGGTGCAAAGTCAGCAGGTAAACTCTGACTGCTGCCTAGCAACATACTGCATGGGGAATGCCAAGGTAAACCTTTGACTGGCCTGGTCTCTGGGCTTCCGGAAACTTCCACCTGGATCACTATGTTTGAAAGAAACAAGGTAAGGCCCCTCCTTTGGAGAGATCTCACCTCTCTTTGGGGCAGCTTCGAACACAAGCCCTGCCCCCCAAAAAAGAGAAAGCATGACCTCTCCAGGTACCAGCACCCACACACACAACGGAGGGCCCCACTCCAGCCTCCTTGGACCTCTGCAGCCCCGCCCCAGCAATCTCTGGCTCCTCCCGCGGCCACAGCCCAGGGCCTGCAGCCATACACTCACCACACACTCTCCCCCAAGGAAGTCAGGGATCACTTCTTTATCCAGGTAGTCCACGAGGCCTCCGGGGCCCTGGTAATTGCTACCGCTGTAGATGAGAAACTTCTGTCTGGTGTTCTCATTGATGAAGGGGCTGATCTGAAGTGGGGGGAGAGGAGACAAGATGGAACGGTGTTTTTGTTTGTTTGTTTTATATGGAGATGTAATTCACATCACAAAAAATTAACCATTTTATCTTATTGGTTTTTTAAGTTTTTATGTATTTAAATAATCTCTGCACCCAACGTGGGGCTTGAACTCATGACCCTGAGATGAAGCGTCACATGCTCTTGTTCTTTTTTTATCCCCCCCCAAGATTTTATTTATTTATTTGAGAAAGAGCGAGAAAGGGCAAGTGCATGACTGGGCGTGGGGGGGTGGACAGAGGGAAAAGGAGAAGCAGACTCCCCAATGAGCATGGAGCCCGACACAGGGCTTGATCCTAGGACCCTGAGATCATGACCCGAGCCAAAGTCAGACGCTCAACTGACTGAGCCACCGAGGAACCCCAGTGTTGCATACTCTTCTGATTGAGCCAGGTGCCCCAGAATTAAGCATTTTAAAGTGAACAGTTCAATGGCTTTTAGTTCATTTACTATATTGTATAACTACCACTTTCCTGTAATTCCAAGACTTCTCATCACCCCAAAAGGAAACCCCATTCCTTTTACACATTCATACACATCAGCGGCTCCTCGCCATGCCCCTCCCCCAGCCCCTGGCAACCACCAACCTGCTTTCTGTCTCCATGGATTTGCCTGTTCTGGACACTTTATAGAAATGGAAGCACACGACATGTGGCCTTTTGTGTCTGGCTTCTCTCATTCAGCATCATGGTTTCCAGGTTCATCCATGTCGTAGTCCTTTTTATGGCTAAATAATATTCCACTGTATGGATGATCCTGTTTTGTTTACCCCAGATGGAAAGTATTTCAATGCTGAACTCAAAGCTGCATGTCGATCCATTGTTTTTCACAGCACACCCCCCACCCCCGCCCCAGTGCTGGTGTGGTATCTGACGAGGTACATAGTTGGGGCAGGAAGGAAGGACTTGATATTGGCAGGGCACCAGCCAATTCAGCAAGGAATGCCACAAGCAAAAGATGTACAGGGAACTGGGAATCCCACCTGTGTGGTCACTCTCCTTCACCCTCCATCCCGGGAAGCAGTCACCTGCGGGCCTCGGCAACCTGGCTCCATGCCACCAGCTTCCATCTGGTGTGGCCACTGGGCAGGGGTGGGGGGCAGCAGCAGGAGATGGGAGGTGGGAACAGAGAAAGAGGCCAGGGTACTTCTTCCCCCGCTCTCTCCCACCTCAGTGCCCCGGACACCCTCACTCCCACCCCATTCCAGCTCTCATGGGGCTCAGTAACAATGTCATCCCCTCTGTTTGTCCCTCCAACCCCCGGGGGGTGGTCAGGGTTCACTGCAGGGGCTAGCCCCAGGGGGCCTCTCCATCCTGCCCGTACCTCTGCAAGGAGTTCTTTCATGTTACATCCCCATTAAGCCACTGGGGCGAATCCCACTTTTGGCCAGAACCCTAAGTGACTGGCTCCCACCACCACGCAATATACATCTTCTTACAGGTCTCCAAACAGCAAGGGAACTTCATTTTCACAAAGATCAGGATATTTCAAGATAAAAAGCTTTCAGGAGCGGGTCCTGCCGGTCCCTCCAACAGCTGCTGCTCCCCGGCCCAGCCCCAACAGAGCCTTGAAGTAGCCACAGGAGCTAGAGAACATTCTGCCCCAGAAGTCACCTCACATCCTCTCCTGTTGACAATCCTCCATGGCTCCCTACTGCCCCAGGACAAAGTCCCACCTTCACCACAGCCTGGACTTGGTAAGCACTGGTCCCCGAGCATTTTCCCAGCCTCTGCCAGGGCCACTGTCCCTTTTGCCCCTTTTTGCTCCAACCATTCTGGACTGGGTTTTCAGTTTTTCAAAAAGCATCAAGTACATTCCTGTCTCCAGGCCTTTGCCCGTGCTGTGTGGGTTGCCTGGCCCATCTTTCCTCCCTGCCCTTCCCTGTATGATTCCTGCTCCTTTCTAGGGTCTCAGCCACAAGTCATCTCCTCTGAGGGACCTTCCTCGGTTTCCAATCTAAATTACCCCCTGCATCACCCCCTGCCTGACTTAGCCTCTCCAAGAACCCTGAACATCCTCACGCCCTTGCCACAGGGAACCATGAAGTGTTTGCTTGAGTGGGGTTATCTGCTATTATCTCTCCCTGCCCCGTGACAGTGGTGGGGAGACACAATGGCTGGCTTGTTTACTTCGAATCCCCAGGGCCTGGAAGGTGCCTGGCACATAGTAGGTACTTAGTGAAACACTGAATCTACTTAACTCTCAAATGTCTATCCTGATTGAACCTCAATTTATAGCAGTGGTTTTCCGGTTTTCTGCGGCACTGAATCCTCGGAGGGGCCTGTGGACCAGTAGCAAGGCCCCAGGGCAGTAGTTTTCAATTGCCAGTAACAACCTGTTCATGGTTGTGAGATCGATTCAGCACATTGTGACTAGCCTATTTTTAATGGGATGGAATTGCTTGCGGATCCGTGCAGGGGTGTGTGTTTGTGTGTGTGTGTGTGTGTGTGTGTGTGTGTGTGTGTGTGTTGGGTTGTAACATAACGTGTATTTCTTACTGTGGGTCTTGGGCAAAAAGTTTTAAAATCCCTACAGCACAGGATCCCAACACTCCTCAGAGCCGACTCACAGGAACGCTGGGAACGCTGTACAATCCTGAGTGTGACTCTAGTGTCCACAAAGCAGGACAACAGATACATAAATCATGGTCTACCCATACAGTGGAACCGTATTCAGATATAAGAAGGAATGAAATACTGATCCATGCTACAACGTGGATGGATCTGAAATCATGACGCTCAGTGAGAGTAATCAGATGCAAAAAGCCTCGTATCGTATGATCCCACTTATGTGAAATATCTCAAATAGGCAAATCCACAGAGACAGAAAGGAGACTGACGGCTGCCAGGAGCTGGGGAGGAGCAGAGCTTCTGATAGCTACAGGGCTTCCTTTTGTGGTGCTGATAATGTTCTGGAACTAGATGGTGGGATGGTTGCACAACCCTGTGAGTCTACTAAAAACCACTGCATTCTGCACTTTGAAAGGTTGAACCTTATGGTCAATGAGTTCTAGGTCAATAAAGCTGTGACTTAGAAGAAATGACACGGAACAATTAGGCAGAAGGAACCCACCCCCCACCTCGGTCATCTCCACCGGGCAAGGGCCTGGCCCGGGCGCCTGCTCTCACCAGCGTCCAGAGCACCGGGAAGACACGAGGGGCTCGCACGATGAGCAGCCGACCCAGGGTCTCGGGGTAATTGTCCTCCACCACCTCAATCATCCGCAGCAGGGCCTTCACCCCCGGCCGCCACAGGTGACGCATGTTGAGACCCTCCAGGTCCACCAGGCAGGTCCAAGAGCTGCAGCAGAGACGGGCCACTCACTCCTGCCTGCTCCACCACCTCCCAGGGCCCCTGACACCCTCAGCGGGTCTCAGGAGTTGACAGGGATGGATGGAGAGGCTCAGGAAGGCAGGGCTGGGGGTAGAGGGGCAGGACACTCATGGATCCTACCACCCCTGACCCTTGGCTGGGGAGGCCATGTGGGGAGGAGGTTCAGAGCCTGGCCTCTGAGGCTAGGCAACGGAATTCAAGTGTCACCTCCACCCCCAAGAGCTGTGTGACATGGGCAACTTCCTCATCAAGACAGTGGCAGTGACAGCAAGAGTCCCCATCTCGAGCAGTTGCTAGGATTAAATGAGGTGGTATGTGTAAAGCTCTCCGCAGGGACAGGCCATAGCACGCACTCGATAAAAAAAAGTTATTGCTGCCAATTGTTGAAAGGGTGCTGACTGCTAAGAGCACAGACTCCGGAGCCAGATGGCCTAGATTCAAATCCCAGCTCTGCCGCTGGCTGTGTGGCCTTGGCCAAGTTCCTTAACCTCTCTGTGCCTCCGTTTCATTGGTACTAATTCATTAGGGAAATGACTGTTTTACTGCAGCAGCTAGTTCTCAGGAGCCTCTCCACCCTGCCTTTGTTCCCTTCATCCAGTCCACACCGCTGCAAGAAATCCCTCATGACACCCTGTCATCTGAGCCATGTCGGGTGAATTCCATTTCTGATCAGGACCCTGATTGATCGATTTCTCACCCCAACCAATGTATGTCCCCTTAGGAAAGCTCCAAACAACAAAGGAACTTACTTTTCCTAAAGATCAGGCTACGTCAGGATAAAAAGCTGCAGTAGCAGGTGCTGCCTCCCCCTCCACCCTGGGGTGTAATAAGGACAACATGAATCAGGTACTTCAGAGAGCACCTGCTGCAGAGTGTCACACACGCATTTGCATTATCCCTCAACGGTCGTCGTTTTTGATGATGCATAAAGAAGCCCTGGGACTGGTGATATTATTCCCACATGATAGATGAGCAAGCTACGGTTCAGAAAGGTTCAGTGCCACTCTAAGTATTCATGTGGGAAACTGAGTTCGGGGGAAGTCGGAGAGGGACAGAGGTTACTGGATGTGCCGTGACACCTGCAAGTCCATCTGCCTGGGAGACAGAGTCAAGGCGGCAATTGGGGGTGGTGCAGAGCTGGCCTCACAAAGCAAGGTCCAGGGCGTGATGTGGCACAGGGGTTCACATCCTTGAGCCCGAAGCAGACAGGAACAGGTTCAAATCTCAGCTCTGCCACTTACCCACTTAGCAGCAAGCTTGGACGAGCATCGCCCCTCTGAGCCTCCGTTTCCCCCTCCACAAAGAACAGGGACAATAATAGTCCCTGCCTCACAGGATTGTTGTAAGAATTAAGAGAGGACATTTCTGTAAAGTACCTAGCATGCTTCCTGGCCAGCGTCTATGCCCAATGAACCTTGGCTGTTTTCACTATTTCAGGGGAATTTGCTCTTGGCTGGGGGTTCTTGCCTGATGGGACGGCCAAACTGCTTTGTGTTCCCTTCACATCTCTTCTGTCCTTCCTCGTTGACAGAAAGAACCTGGAAAGTAGAGAATGTGCTGGCAAACATTCACTTGGCTGCCCCACCCACAGGCAGCCCTGGGATCCAGTGGGGACCCCTACTCACGTGCTTCAGCAGTGCCTCTTCCCCCACGGCCTTCATCAAGCCTTTGGTGTCCATGTGGCCCAGGCGCAGGATATAGAGGGGGCGGCCGTCTTTGTAGGCAAGGCAGGCCGAGCAAAGAGAAGGGACATTATTTCAGGGGTGCTGGTGAGAGGGCAGGCCCAAACTTCTCCTCGGAGAAGGCGGTGCCAGGCTGTGGCTCAGCTTGCCCCTCCTGTCCATTTATTCGACAATGTTCTGCCTGCTCCCAAGAGGGGCTGACACCAGTTATGGCAAAAGAAGCAAAGTGTCCAAGTGTCAAAGAGACGGATTTACATCACACAGGAAACTGGCTGAAGGGCATGTGGCAGGCAACTCTATGTACGACCTCAGCAACTTTTCTGAAAACCTGTCCTAAAATTAAATGTTTATTTTAAAGCTTTTTAAAAAGAAGAGATGAACCATGTTAGGAAGGAATATGGAGAAAGTGGATAATGTTGGCTCTTAGCTTTCTGTCAACCAAAGCGAAGAGGAAAAATAAGGAAGAATATACGAATACAGTCGATTCTTATTATTCATGGTAGTGATGTTTTCTGAAGTGATCCTGAACACTGACTTAGGGAACAGTGAAGCATCGCTTTGAGAAGAAATATGGGGTAAGGTCCCTGCAAGCCTCTAGTCATAACATTTTTGTTAACTGATCGATACATAACCTTGTCCTGAATTTCTTAAATTCAGGTACACTAGCCTCAGAGGCCATGCTCATTAAGGACACTTTATTGGGTATATATTGTTGATACATCAACATCGAACTCACGGCCAGCAGCACCACACTCAAGCCAGGACAAAGCTTATCTAACACACATCTTTTCCCTGTGAGGCACATTGCAGCCTTCTTGTGCTCGGGAACACGAGCCAGCACTTTTGCACTTTGCCTGGGGGCCATTTTAAACAGGAAAAATCTCTCACATACACACACCACACGAAAGCTACAAAATTGCAAAAAAAAAAAAAAAAGGTAGTACTAAGTGGACTTTAAAAAGGACTCTTGTTAACAGTATGAGAAAAAAAAAAAAAAGGCAGATGGACATCTTGAGTACACAAAGATCAGACAACTGACTTTTTGCCATTCTGCCCATGGTCATAATTGACTGCAGAAGCACCCCGAGTATTGATTTGGGGGTTACAAATAAATTTGGGTGACTAGGCAAATTCACAAATATGGAATCCATGAATAATGAGGATTGACTGTATATTATAATAAAGTGCTCCAATCGGTTCTTCAGGAGAGTCAAGCACTCACCTTAATCGATATATATGAATTTCTACATAAAGGGCATTGGAAAGCATCATGTGCACTGGAATCAAGGGCAGCTTTAAGAAACTGAGAGAAGTTATTTGTGGTGGGTTGAACAGTGTCCTCCAAAAATTCACATGCACCCAGGATCTCTGAATGTGACCTTATTTGGAAATAGCCTGCAGAAGAAATTAGTGAAGGACCTCCAGATGAAATCCTACTGGATCAGTGTGGCCCCTAAATACGATAACCTGGGGTCTTCACAGGAAGAGGAGAGGACACAGAGAGACACCCCGAGGGAAGCCATGTGAAGACAGGCAGAGATTGGGGTGACATGACCACAAACCAAGGAACACCTGGAGCCACCAGGAGCTGGAGAAGGCAGGGAGACATTCTCCCCTAGAGACATTGCAGGGAGCATGGCCCTGCCCACACGTTGAGTTTGGGCTTCTGCCTCCAGAACTATGAGAAAATACATCTCTATGGCCTTAAGCCACTCAGTTGGTGGTAATTTGCTATGGCAGCCCCCGGCCACTAATGCAAATCATACAGCCAGTATGTGTGGGGTCTCCAAGACCAAAAGCAAGGCTGAGCTAACACTGCCACTGCGTGAGAAACATTGCTTCCAGCTCAAATGTCTATTCCGGCCCTACTTTCCTCATGGCTGGGTGAACCCCAAGGGCATCTCCAGATGCCCAGGAGAGTCAAAAGGAAAAATCATAAGAGGCTAACATGAAAAGTGGCCTTCAAAGCGCCTTTGGCAGTGACCAAAGTGTGCGCTCTGCATTATGTAGGTAAAGGGACGCACCTGTGTCCTGGTAGTGCCAGCCCCCCGCATAGAATTCCTCCAGGAGGGCAGGGGGTCGCCACGTCTGAAGGAGGAGATCCACCTGGTGCTGCTTTCTCCAGCTCAAGGACTGGCACAGCATCTCCCGCGCCTTGTCCAGGTGGAAGTCACGAGCCCGCAGGAACCGGAGAATGTGCTCATCTTTGGGAATCTGAGAGAAGAAGGAGAAAGCCCGTAGAATGGTATTCCCTAACCCAGTGGACAAAATTATGGAGAATGAGTAGCTCCTGTCTTATCTGCAAAACACTTAGCTGGGAAAAGGACCATACACTTAACCATGATGCAGTCTAGGGGTGAACTGTCAGGAAAATCTGTGAGTTTGGGCTGCCTGACGCTCCTCCCTCCTCATGTACCTCTTTTCCTTTGGGGAGCTGCTTTTCCTCCCCACTCCCCAGCACCCATCCTGGTTTTAGCTGGTGTTGCCAATCAGCACTCCACTCTCATGGCCTCAGGGGTGGCACAACCCAGATTTAAACCCAATTAAAATCAGAAGAATGGGTCATGAACCCCTTTCTCTGCAGTGGCAAAGGTGAGCCTGCAAGCCACGGGCAGCCACAGCTCCAAGCTCAACAGGGAAGTAAGTCTGACGGGGATGAAGCAGAAGGAAACAGATACAAGAGCTCAGGGGTCCCGACCATGTGTGAGTCCTGGTTCGGGACATCCCTGAGGCAGGTTGCATGGGCCCCTGTGTGAGGCTGAATGATGTTCCTTCAAAATTCACATCCACCCATAACCTCGGAATGGGACCTTATTTGGAAATGAGTCTATACTGATATAATTAGCTAAAATGAGGTCACAATGGAGTAGGTGGGCCCTACTCCAGGAGGGGAATTGGGACACAAACAGGACAAACTGGGGGAAGAAGGCCATGGGATGATGATGGAGGCAGAGACTGGAGCGCCACATCTATCAGCCAAGGACTGGCGGCAGCCACCCGAAGCCAGGAGGGAGGAGGCATGGCACAGACCCTCCCTCAGAGCCTTCAGAAGGAACCAACCCTGCCCACGCCTTGATTTCAGACTTCTGGCCTCCAGAACTGTGAGAATAAGTTTCTGTTGTTTCGAGCCACTCAGTGTGTGGCATTTTCTTTCAGCAGCCCTAGAAAATGAATACACCCTGCTCAACAGTTATATGAGCCAATAAATACTCCTCTCCTTATTTTCTGCCTTGACTCAAGCTGCATTCCTACCACACAGAACCCAGAGACTAACTAATAGGTTGAGGTGACAGGGTAAGACCCCGCCAGCTCTCCTTCCTTCCCTTAGGCAAATAGCAACCCAGCCCCAATGAAAGCTCTCCTTTTCTGAGTGCTCATCCTGAGCCAGACACGACTCCAGGCACTTTATGTGCGTTGTCCCTTGTAATTCAGTCCAGATGGCATATGCCAGCATCATCCCCCTTTTATAGATGAGAAAACAGGGGCAGATAGGTTAATCACAGCCCAACATGAAAGTACTCCCTGTCTGCTGCCCTGTCTCCCTTGTCTGCCCCCACCCCAGCGTGGGGAGGGGATAGGAAGGAAGGGAAAGCTCGAAGTTCTTATTCAACAGAGCTGAAGGTCAAGTCCATGCTTGGGACCTACATGCACAATGGACATTCATGTGATGGGGCTTAAGAGTCTGGAGCCATTTTTGGTTGTCACAGCTGGTGAACAAGAGCTCTTGGTATCTACTGGTGGAGGCCAGGATGCTAATCAGCACCTTGCAGTGCACAGGACAGCCCCACCCCATAAAGAACTGTCCAGCCTCAAATGTCAACAGTGCGGGGGATGAGAAAGCCCGCGATCAGTGGTACGCACGGCACGCATTATAGATACATGAGACAATACATAATAAAAAGACAAAACAGGGGTTGTGGGTGGGGGGATGGGGTAACTGGGTGATGGGCATTAAGGAGGGTGCTTGAAATAATGAGCACTGGGTGTTATATGCAAATGATGAATCACTGAATTCCACCTCTGAAATTAATAATAACAGTATATGTTAATTAAATTGAATTTAAATTAAAAAAAAAAAGAAAGCAAAATATGTTTCCAGGATTGCTAATTACATCAGTGTATTCACCTGGCCCTTCCTCCCCGAGTGCCTGAGGTGAGTAGCTGTCATTGAACATGCTCTCATAGACCCCAGCTCTGCACCCACCTTGCCTTTGTGGGTTTCCTGCAGCCAGTGCCGAAGCTGGATCAGGCAGCTCTCCTGCACGGGCGTGAGATGGCCCAGGTACCTCTCAATGTAGTCTGCATCCAGCTTGTCCTCTGCAGGAGAAGATGGGGGAGTTCAGGACCAGAGGGCAATACCACTCTCATCTCCACGTGGTCTACCCTTTCTGGAACGCTTGCCTCACTGGCCGCCTTGGATCTGAAACATCGAGTACAGTGGCCCTTTCACCAAAGAATAGCCACATGGGTTCCACATCCTCCAGTCTTGCCAACCCATTTCCAAGGTGGTTCTGAAAACTCATGGTAGGGCCAGCCTGGATCTCACTATGGCAAGTGACGTGTCCTTTGACCCTCGGAAATCCAGATAATTCCCACCCCCTGGAGCTGTCCTGCCCTCTGAAAATATTAACAATATGTGCTCATTGTTTCTAGACAGGCATCATCTCAGTGAGCTCTCCCAAACCCCTGTGAGGCGGGCACACTACTGTCCCCACTTCATGGAAGACAAAACTGAGGACGAGAGAGTTTAAGTAGCAAGTGAATGCATGTGGTGCACCCAGCATAAAAGAGACGGTCAGTAGATACAGTTACTTTTGTCTTCCCACCTCCCAGCCCCCTTGTGGGTTTGAAGCTTTTCATAGACAGAGCCCTGACCCCAAAATATAGCCCAGGAGCTGCATAGATCATCCCCAGTGTTCAGTCCCGTCCTACACAATTGGGCTGTTTGGGGTCAGCATGTGCAGGCATTTAGAGGCTGGGCTCCAACATGGAGGTCCTGGTGCCCACTCTTAACTGCTGGGGTGGCAGATGTTGGCATGGTGAGGCACATCAGCATGTAAGCATCTCAGCAGTGGGTAAGCGGTCCACAAAGAGCAGCCCCCATGAGCACAGCCCATTCTCTCTGTGCACAATTAGAAAACAAATGGAATGTGTGCACAACCAGTAGCAGGATCCAATGGTTCCCTCTAGAACAAAAAAATCCAGGGCTGGAGGTCAGTAGGCATCTGGGTAAGCAGAAGCAGGAGAGATGCTGGCGGTGTGCAGTGGGGGAGCCTCAGAGTGGTCCGAAGTGAAGATGCTGGAGATGGGAAGGGAGCGTGGAGAGGATGAGGGCGAAAGCACAAGGGAGGCAGGAGATACCAGCATCCTTCCGGCCTCTATGCAGCTGTCAAGGCCCCTTTCTCTTGAGCACAAAGGCCCAGTGATTCAGGGCAGGATGGAAGGGGCATGACTCTGCCTCTCGCCAGCCATCCTGAGCACCTGCCTGCTGCTGGACAGCACAAACAGACAAGGAAGGAAAAGCCTGGTGCAAAATGAGTAGGGCACAGGGCTTGACCACCGGATAATGTGCACAAGAAGGGGCAGAATTTTTAATTTTTTTAAAAAAATTTTAAATTTTTTTAAATTAAAAGAAAATTTTAATAATTTTTTTTTTTTTAAAAAATATTTTTTAAAAAAATATTTTTTAAAAAATATTTTAAAAGTGCATGTACCACAGCAGCCAGCTAGTGCAAAAAAAATTGGTACAGATTAAATGTTTGTTGAATAAATGCATTTTGTTCTCCCTAAACACTGCCCCAGATGTATTATTGGTTACATGGCATATCTCCAAGAAAGCCAAGCCCTACACTTCAGTGGCCCCAAAGGAAAGACTAAATCATCGTGAGCACTAATGCATACGGTTAAAACTGAATTCATGGGGTATGTGTAGTTTTGTGTCCTAGGGTTTTTTTTTTAATTTTAACATTAGATTGTGAACATTTCCCATGTCATCAAAAGCCTAAAATTTTTTTTTTTGCTAATTGCCTTCAGTACAAAGAGCTCTTACAAAGCAGTAAGAAATCAGTGGGCAAATAGGAAAATAAACAAAGTACAAGAACAGAGATTAACAAAAAAGCAATACGGAGTCACTAAGCACAAGAAAATAATATTTGGCCCCACTCATCTATCAGTGGTCACTTTTTGCTTTCTGAAAGATTTTATTTATTTGAGAGAGAGAGAGATGGAATGCATGAGAGGGGGTTGGGAGGGTGGAGAGGCATATGGAGAAGCACACCCCCCTGCTGAGCATCATGACCTGAGCCGAAGGCAGACACTTAACTGACTGAGCCACCCAGGCACCCCTCAGTTTAAAACATTTAGTAACAGTCTTGTGGGGAGCCAGGGTGAAGTCAGGAATAGACTCAGCTATGCACTTTCGGGGGGAACACTGATTAGTACGACTTCTTTGTAGGTCTAATTGGTAAATCTGACAAAATTTTGGCTGCATATAACCTTTGACCCAACAATTCAACTTAAAACATTTTATGCTACGTATATACTCATACAAATATAAAAACAACCTTAAGTAGAAAGATATACTATATTATTTATATTTTTTTAAAAATGGGAAAAAAAAAAAATTTAAAAACAGAAACCTAAATGTCCATCACTAGTTTTTTTGCTAAATTAAAAAAAAATAATCAATCAATAAATGTTTATTAATAAGTAAGTTATGAGAAGTTTGAGAAGTACTAAGTAAGTACATGGTAACCACACCATGAAATACTGCAAAGTGCTGAGACAGAAGCAATGACGCAGAAGACTTCAAGCAACATTAAGAGGTGAAAATAAGCAAAACATCCAGTAGAACGTATAACATGCTTTCACTGACTCAACATAAGTTATACACGTATGCATGCCTGTATATATGTGTATGTATGCACATATTATGTGCATATATATGCCTAGATAATTTTAGGAAATATGAACACAAAACTATTATGGCCTCAAGGAGAAGAAAGGAATCTTACTTCCTAATTTACATCTTCCAAGAAATTTGAATTTTTTTTTAACATGCATTACTCATATAATTAAAAATAGTTGAGGGAAAAAAAAAAAAAACAGAGAAAAGGGCAGCCCTGAGGCACCAGATCAGGTCAATTCCTGATTTAGAAATAAATCAGTTCTGGCTCTTGGGCCAGAAGGAAGGCAGGGTAAAGCAGCGGGGAAGGGAGGAAGCTGAGTCATTCCAGGTCCCAGACCTGTTCCCAAGGGGACCCGAAGCAATTCTCCCCCGCATGGAGTGAGCAAACCCTAAGCAGGCTTTTGGGGACTGGGTGGCGGTGGGGAGGGGTGGCCAAGGGCACAGACCTGGCCAGATGGCCTCCACCGCAGGGACCTACCGTCTGTAAGAACTGTCTCAGGAGCAGGGCCTGGGGCGCTGCCGGGCCTGTCAGCCTCCAGGGAGCCAGGATCCCTGGGGCCAGCCTGAGAGCGGTTGTCCTCCTCTCGGACGGGGGCAGGCGTCCACCGGGGAATGTGAGAGGTGCCCTGGGAGATGAGCTCGTTCAGGTAATGCTCAATCACCTCCTTCCCCTGGAAGCCAGAGAGATCAGAGGCACGTGAGCACCAGGACAGGAGCGCGCGTCGGGGGGGGGGGGGGGTAAGGGCGTCAGCCTGGGCGTCACCCTCATCTGGCTGCAGTCCCAGGGGGGGGGGGTGGCTATTGAGCAGTTGAAATGTGGCCAGTCTGAATGGAGATGTGCTGTGAGTGTCAAATACAAATGGGATTTCCAAGAGTTAGTACAGAACAAAAAAATGTAATAGTTCATTAATAAGTTTTCTATGGATAACACGTTGGATAAAATATATTGTTAAAATGAATTTCACCTGTTTCATTACACGAAAAGGCTTCTTTCCTCAGTGATGGGTCTGAGATCTTTACACAGCAACCATTTTAACCAGGACAAAGCACCACAGAAAGCTCTTCCTCTGTCAGAGTTCACTACAGAAGCCCCAAACATCAGGGGGCTTCAGGATAATGATTATGGTGCCTCCATTACAGGCCGGGTAGTTTCCCCTCATTATCTTGTGTGTTATGGTCATTATTAGGATACCCATTCTATGGATGAGAAGACTGAGGCCAAGGAAGGTTAAGGATTGATCTTGCCCGATGTCACTGGGGTTGTCAGGTGGTAGAGCAGGTTTTGCGTACCTTCCTCCTTGTGACTGACACGGGAGCCCACCCCTTACCCTCTTGACGTTGGCTGTGTACTGCTTCATGGCGATCTTCTCCAGGGCATTTTCGAAGCCAAAGAAGGACCGGATGTCGAGCGAGGCACATTGCTCAAAGCAAGTCCACTCTTCATTCTCAGGGTGGACCTGAAAGCCAGGCAGGGGTGATGACAAGGTCTGTGTGGGGGATGCTGCGCCCACCCCCCCGTCCCAGGGGCTCTCTTGGTGATGTGGGCCCAGCCAGAGCAGACAGCAGACAGCACCTAGAGCCCTACCCAGAGAACAAGGGAAAGTGTTAGAGAACAAAGAGCCTTCTCATGAGAGGATGGGAGAAAATGGGTCTGGTGTCTGCATGCCTCTCCCTTAAAAACTGATATATAATAATATATTTAAATGAGTAATATATTTAACATACAATTATATATAAACAAGTTAAACACAATTAGTATATATTCTAGATATATATTTTAAAGTATGTATTGTTATATATTTATATATATTATATATATGTATATGTGTGTATATATATGTATTATATATATATATAAAAACAAGGACAAACTTTGTTGACACAGCTACTACGCAGACCCAGGCTATATATATATATAACTTCCGTGGGCAGAAACATGACCCGGGAGTCTGTTAAACGTGCAGATTCCTAGGCCGAATGGGTCTGGGGGGGGCCTGGAAACCTGCATTTCCCAAGCAGCCTTGGTGATGCTGATTCATCTGTTGGCTGAACTCACTCTGAGAAATATTGCACTAAAAATGATTTATAAAAAGCTGCCACCCACTCAGTCGTTAAGCGTCTGCCTTAGGCTCAGGTCATGATCCCAGGGTCCTGGGATCGGGCCCCGCATCAGGCTCCCTGCTCCGCAGGAAGCCTGCTTCTCCCTCTCCCACGCCCCCTGCTTGTGTTCCTGCTCTCGCTGTGTCTCTCTGTGAAATAAATAAATAAAATATTTTTAAAAAAAAAAGGTAACACACCTACGGGGCTTAGTATGTGCCAGGCACTCTCCTAAGGGGTTTGGATAGTTTACTTCCTTTAATCCTCAACACAACCTATGTGGTAGGTGCAATCATTAACCCCATTTTAAAACAGGGGCGCCTGGGTGGCTCAGATGGTTGAGCGTCTGCCTTCGGCTCAGGTCGTGATCCTGGGGTCCTGGGATGGAGCCCCACATCGGGTTCCTGGCTCAGCGTGGAGCCCGCTTCTCCCTCTCCCTCTGCCTCTCCCCCTGCTCATGCTCTCTCTTTCTCTGTATCTCTGTGTCTGAAATGAATAAATAAAATCTTAAAAAAAAAAAACAGATGTAGAAACTGTAAATGAGGGTGTGTTTCATGGAGGAAGGAAAGGAAAAAAAAAAAAGGAAGAGGGAGGCAGGTTGCCAGGTTTCGCCAACAAAATACAGGATGCCACATTTGAATTTCAGATAACAGTGAATAATATTTTGTTAAGTATGTCCCAAGCAATACTTGAGACTATTTAAACAAACAAAAAGGGCGCCTGGGTGGCTCAGTCCTTAAGCGTCTGCCTTCGGCTCAGGTCATGATCCCAGGGTCCTGGGATCGAGCCCCACATCGAGCCCCACACCGGACTCCCTCCTCAGCGGGAAGCGTGCTTCTCCCTCCCGCACTCCCCCTGCTTGTGTTCCCTCTCCTACTGTGTCTCTGTCTGATAAATAAATAAATAAAATCTTTAAAAAAAAAAAAAACAAAAAAGTATCAGCTGTGTATCCGAATTGCAGATGGAAGCCAGTGTAAAAAAAAAAAAAAAGGCCAAGGCCCCGGGGCCAGAGGAGGGGGATCTAGGCTGATGCAAGGACTGGGGGCGCAGGCTCACAGTGTAGCTGCAACTCTCATTGACCACCACACGGCTGGCGAAGGTCTCGTTGTGGGCTTCGATGAGGAGGGTCCTCTCCCTCCAGTTCAACACGTTTCTCTGCACGAAGACTACGTGCTCAACGCCCGCAATCTGCAAGGGAAGGGCAGTGGGGGGGCCTGCAGGATATGGAGATTTCGCCGAGACCCGGCGCGCCTGCCCACCAGCTGGCCCGGATTCTGTACCACGCCCTCCACCCCCAGACCCTGAGACCCCGGCGCCTGCGCACCAGCCTGGGCCCTAGTCCCCAGCTCATCAATCAATTCCTAGGGCTTGGTCCTTCCCAGACCAGCCCTACGCCCCAGTACGCCATACCGCCATACCGGCACCTACACACACACACACACACACACTCCGTCCACCACCTGAACCCGCCCCCAGGCCCCCCACACCCCTTCCGGTCCCCTCCTCCGCCCCCCCCAGCCCCTGGGACCCTCCTCCCCACGCACCTTCCGCAGCAGCCGTGGGGCTTCCACGCGCAGCCTGCAGCTCCGCTCCACCACGTGCACCGCCCCGTCGGGGCTGCGGGACTCGCGCAGGACCTCGCTGCCCAGGAAGACCGGGATCTGCGGGCAGGTGGGGAAGCGCTTCTCATAGGCCTGGGGGCAGAGCGGGAGTGAGTGCCAAGGGGGCTAGTGGCCCCAGAGAGGCCCACTGCTGCTGAGGCCTGGAGCTCAACCCTCCTCCCTCCTGCCGGGTTGTTGTCTCATTTACAGGAGGAGAAACGTGAATTCCTGGCCTAAGATAAGAGCAGTGACCACTGCTGTTTTACCAACAAGACATCATTTTAACACCTGTTTCAGAGCCGTGACACACGAGCGCATGAGCAATGATTTGGCAAATCACTCTTTGGCTCTGCGTTTGAGATTTCAACCTCAGAAGGAAGAGTGGGCTTGCCTGCGGCATTTCAAAAGAAGGCATCTTTCAGGAAAAAACACTTGACATAATCCAACACCTCGTCGTGACAAAAACACTGAACAAGTGAAGAATAGGCGGGAACTTCCTCAATCTGATAAATCACAGTCAGCATCATGTGCAATGCTAGAAGATGGAATACTTTCCCCCCTGAGATCGGGAACAAGGCAAGGATGTCCTCTCTGGCAATGTCTGCTCAACATTGTCCTGGAAGTTCTTAGTCCTGGCAGTTAGGAATTAAAAGAAATAAAAGGCCTCCAGACTGGAGGACGGGAGTCTGTGCCCAGTTCTGGAATTGCCAGGGAAAGAGCCACTGTGGGGTAAGCCCTCTTCCATGGCTGACTGTATCCAAGTGGGGTCTGCTCCAAGCGCCTGTCACAGCCCATGTGCCAGGAAATCAGGATCAAAGCAGCTTCAAAAATAGTGCAGGCATCTGAGGACAGCACCTCCTCCCCCATCCCTCAGGGCTCCTCCCAGCTCAGAAGGGCAGAGGGGGGTGGGGGCAAGAAGAAATGGAACGGTGCCCGGTGCCCTTGGTGTCACCCCAGGCCCCACAAGGCCAGCGCAGTGTGTCTTCCTGCCATATGTTGAGCCTGGCTGTCTCGTACAGACAACGCAGACACAGCAGGGCTGGAATAAGGAGCCCTCGTTCCCCAGCAGAGGGTGCACCGCGAGCAGACATTTGCCCACTGAGGACAGAGCTGCATAACAGAGTGAGCAGATCCTGTGGTGGTGGGCCAGCTTCGAGGGTGTGAGGCTCAGCTCCACCTCCTCCCAACAGAGGCAAGTCCTTTCCTCCTCTAAGCCTCTTTCACCATCTGGAAAATGGGTACATAACCAAGTTTGCCTCCCAGAGTATGAAACCAGGCTGGCTACTTATTGCAGAGCCTGGCTCATTTAAAGCAACCAGAATTTTCATTCTCCAGGCAACAAGACTCAAACGACAGCAGAACACAGGTTTGCAAGAACCACAGACAGCTCCCTACCAGCCATATCTGAGTACTCCCTTGTCACCAAATGTAGGAGGGAGCCAGAGGAGGCGGCTTGGGCTCCCCTCCACCATAGGAAGAGGGATGCTGACATTTTTTTAAAGTATGTGGAGGGAAAGGGGTGCATGTCTCAGAATTGGACAGGCTCAGTTCATGTCTCTGCTACTTTCTCACTGAGTGGCCTTGTGAGCCTCTGTTTCCTCATCTGTAAAATGGGGTGGCATCCCCATTTGACAAATGAAAGAACTGGAATGCAGAGAGGCTAAGTAACTTACCCAAGGTCACACAGTGAAAACTGGTAAACCTGGATTTGAATCCCAGCATGGCCCAGTCCCCATTCCCTCGGAAGGGCTTTGCTCCTCTGGGCACCTGGGAAACAGCCAGGCATTGTCCCCAGGGCCGAGTGATCACGATTTCCCCCTTCTCCACCTTTAGTACTTCAACTCCTACTCACGCATGGCCACACTGTCCCTGAGTTTCTGCACTCCCTCTAACTGTAGAGTCTCTCCTGCTTCCCAGATGAAATGACATACTCAGAACAGGCCTGGATGCCCAGAACATGTCCCACACTCCATACTGTGGCCCACCAGGTCCCAGGCAATCTCTGCCACCAGCCACCTTCCCTCTGCTCCAGCCACGCCAGGCTTGCTGTTTCTAGAACACATTTTTATGGGTTCAGTTGTGCGCCAACCCCCCCCCATAAAATCCATGTGTCCTACCCAGTTTCTCTGAATGTGACCTTATCTGGAAATAGGTCCTTGTAAATGTAATTAGTTAAGATGAGGTCATACTGGGGGTGGGGGGCAGATCTCTAATCCAAGATGGCTAATGTCCTTATAAAAGGGGAAATTTGGTCACAGACACTCATACAGGGAAAACACCATGTGAAGATGAAGGCACAGGTCTGGGTGATTCCTCTACAAGCCAAGGAATGCCAAAGATTACCAGCAACACCAGAAGCTAGTAGAAAGGCATGGAACAGATTCTCCCTCAAGCCCTCAAAGGAACCAATCCCGCCAACACCTTGATTTCAGACTTCAAGTCTTCAGACTGTGAGGTAAAACGTTTCTGCTGTTTAAGCCACCCAGTTTGTAGTACTTTTAAATGCAGCCCCAGGACACTAATGCACCTACCATCTGTTCCCACAACAGGGCCTTTGCATGAGCTGTTCCCTCTCCTTGGACCACTAATCACTTTACTTGACAGTGAAGGAGGAGGGAGGCCTGAGTAACTGGGTCTTCCAGAGGGTAAAGGGACCTGGATTGGGGGCTAAGGAGATGCTCTGGCTTCAGGGACTCATCCATGCTAGTCCCTCTTCCTGGAACATCTTCCCCCACCTTCTCCCCTGCAAGGCTGCCTCCTTCCCTATTCTGTCCTTTTAGCTTATTCGTTTCCTTGATACCATTTATCACACCCTTCAGCTGTATCCTAGCTCACATGTGGTGTGCTGAAGGCCTGGGCTGCATGCTTTTTCCACAGCACTAACCTCATACGTGTCTGTCTCAGCTCTTGGCACACAGCACGACTAATAAATGCCCACAGGCAAAGAAAAAAATAATTTAAACTTGTCGATGATCCAAAAAGCCCTCAAGAAAGGTGTCCCCGGAGGGGAATGACGGGCTGTGGAGACAGAGCATCCAAATGAGCTTCACCAGGCTGACTTCCTGTTGTAACAAAGCTCTGGGTAGAAGAGCTCCATCTGGAGCCACCAGATAACGGTGGAGGGCGGAGGGCTGGTCGGCAGCAGAGGCTGCTGGGGCACAGCTTTCCCTGACCCTGAAAGGGAAGGTGCTACCTTCCTCAAGTAGCAAACGATGGAGCTAGGCCAGGCATTGGGGCGGGGAGCGGGTCAGAGCTCAGGTCCCATCTGGAAGGGAGGGGCCCCTATATGAAGAGTCCATCCCAGGGCTATATCTCCTGCCGGAGAGTCGCCGGGGTTGTGAGGCCCAGTGTCAGACATTGTTGCTACTGACATTTATGGGGCGCTAACCGCACCATTTCTTTGTACAGTGCCCCAAGATGGAAACTAGTATTTCCCCATTTTACAGAAAGGCAAGTTGAGGCTTGGGAAGGCATCACACAGTCAGTAAGTGGTGGGACTGGAGCATAGGCCCATCTGACCCAGACCCCAGCCCTGAACCACCCTGTCCTGCCTCTCAGGGGATTTTGGTTACATCACAAGTGTCAATAGTTTGGAAATACTGAGTCCTGCTGGCCTAAAACCAATAAGTCAGGGGTACACTTGCCTTTGGCACATCACAGGGTCTTATAGGACCAAACAGTCCACAGGATCTTCCCCATGGGCTCCTGTCCCAACAAATCATGCCTGAGCTTCTCTGTGCTGAACAAGCACATGGTTGCCTCCCCGCCTCCCCAGGAACACAAGGTAGCAGAAGGATTCGGTTACAGCCCTTCTGCCAGGTGGCTAGAGAGGGACACCCAAGCCTCCTCACTCAGAAAGGAAGCTGGTCCAAGGCCCAGAACCCGCCCATGCAGGGCCGCAGCTGGGGTAGACAGAGACCAGTGGAAACTTCCGTTGACTGCCTCCCATGGGCCTCTGTCCTGTAAAAATCCACAGTGACACACTTAGCATGTGGAGATGGGCAGCTGGACTCCTAGCCAGACCTACCTACCTCCAGCTGGGCAACCTCAAACATGGGCATGTCCCCTTGTCTCCCTTCAGGCTCATCTGTAAAGCAATTCACTCCCAGTGAGCACCTGGTTGTACCATCTCCTTCATTTGTGCGTCACACCCGCTGACAAGAAGTCATCGGCCCCTGGCAGGGAGCTTCTCCTCCTCCCACCAAATCCCCAGGGCTTGTCAAAATGACACAGTCAACACTCAGTAGGCATTTACATGATGAATGAGTGAATGACAGCATCCCAAACCCATTAAGGGTATGGACTCTGGGTCCAAATCTCTGCTCTGCTTCTTACCAACTGTGTGGCCTTGAACGCGTCATCGGGCTCTCAGTTCCTTAATGTGCTCGTTTTGTTAGAAGGAGAATAAGAAAAGTAGCTACCTTGCTGAGTGGTGGGATGTGTAGGGGGGAATAAAGGAGTCCGTTTTTGTAAAGTGCTGAGAACAGTGCCTAGCACATGGTTCGTTCTACATAAGCATTTGTTAAATAAATTTAAATTTTAAAAAAGAGTGAGATTCTATAAAGTACAGAAAAGCTATTTCTGCTAATCACTTGACAGCTGCTCCCTCCTCCCCCCACCCCTCCTTCCTTCCTGCTCTTCCTCATGCAAATTCAAAAAAAGCTGGAAGCTGCTTACCCCAAACCTTCCACCAAGAGTGTGGAAAGAAGATCCAAACTGCGCTAACGTACCCTGGCCCATTACTTTGCCTTCCCTTTCCATGTTGCAGGCTGGATTTGGGGCACTGAGCACTGTATGACCTCACACGGAGGCACACACCTCCCATCACACTCCTCAGGAGCCTTTCTTGATGACCCCCCCACACGCCCCCTGCAAGCGTGGAAGACCCCAGAACTGACGAATATCAATCCTCTCAGCTCCCCCAACTTTTTTTAAAACTGAGATAGAATTCTCATACCATAAAATGCGCCCTTTAAAAAAACATTTTATTTATTTACTTGAGAGAGAGCAAGAGAGAGAGAGCACAAGCAGGGGGAGCGGCAGAGGGAGAAGTAGGCTTCCCTGCTAAGCAGGGAGCCCGAGGCAAGAGTAGA